AATAAAAACATTCGATAAAATCTGTAAGAACAGTTCGATCTCATTTTGTGTTAAATGAATCAATGTGAGTAATGTAATAGATTGACGTATCTTTCTGAAAACAACAAAATTTATATAAATTGATAGTGGAGCCGTCGTTTTTAATATTCTTTTCATTTCTGATTGATTCGATAAATTTTGAGATCCAATTGTAGTAAACTCGTGTCTACAGAGACAGAGTGAGAGAGAAAGTGTTGGTGAGGGGGAGAGTCTTTCCCTTCTCTCCCCAATATCTCTTATCTCTCTCTCTTTTTTCTTGAAGTATTCATGAAAAAGAAACTTATCTAAGAGTATACTCAAGAGAGGTTAGCTCTTTTCAGACTACTTCCCATGTCTTATTTTCTAATAATATTATCACTTCAGCAGAGAGAGAGAGAGAGATTTCCTTTGATCCTTATGTTTTCTTTTCTAGTTCATATTCCTGCTAATGTCGTAGAATAATTTATATAGAGTTTAATAAAAGATATTCTTGAACAAAGAAGTAAGATATGTGCGATTTTATAAATAGGTAGTGCACTGTTTAATCCATTCACCACGATGGGGTCCAGCGGTGGACCCTACTATATTTTAATAAGAAACTTAATAGAAAAACCCTTTCTTTTCTTTTATTCTTAAGCGGAAGGTTACACATAATGTGCGATATGCGTTGCCTTCGCTATTTTCAGAATCATTTGTTACAATCAGAACAGAAAGTTTTTACTCTCTTTGTTGTTAATGACACGCTTCTCTTGGTTGTTGTTCCCTATTTTTCTCGTAACAAACAACACAACGTCTTCGGACATCACGAGCAGCTCCTTCTTTTTCTTCAAGTTTGTGATCAGCAAGTTTGCGTTTCGTTTGACCTATTGATGTTTGTCTTGGACCCGACTTCAGCTTCTCGAATGGCATGCCAAGCAGTAAAGATCGGACAAGACTTTCACGAAATTGCAGAATGGTCACTTTGCTTGCTGCGTAGTTTTCCTTGTATATCAAATAGCTGTTTACCAGTGCCGTCCAAAAAAATAATTCAAATGCTACCTTTCGGTACCACTTTGTTGACCGCCTGAGGCACGTGTAATATGATGATAGCTGATCAGATAAATCAGTACCTATTCTTCCTTCATTGTAATCCAGTACAACTTGTAGCTTCATGATGCGTTCATTTTTACTATTGATATTTCCAGTATCTACCACAGTTGCTGAATCCGACGGTCTTGTGGATATCATCAAGACGCGTTATTTTTGTCTTTCCACATGATCAATTTTACGTCTTCTTTATTCTGAAGTTCGTAAACTTCACCACGTCGAAGGTTTTTTGAGCAACCTCGCTGCCTGATTCGGTACGATTACTTCTCAGTGTCCCAATAAGATACGTATCATGTTCTAACACAAACGCTTTGCCAGAGGAATGCTGGTAAAGAAGTTGTCAGCTACCACGGTTCGATAACATCCCTCAAGATCATCCAATAAATGCATCACCACTGTTTGAGCATGCCCAATACCGGCCATTGAATCTTGTTGATCGGTGTAGATTATATAATTCCAAGTGTGTCCATTGGTAGTCGCCAGTTTGTAAATTCTCACGCCGTACCTCTCCAGGAATATAGTATTTGAACGAAAGGCTGCCTTGCCATCACAAAAATGAATATTTCAAAGAAGTTTCTAAGAAAACTGAATCGTAGTGGTGTGGGTTAAGAGAACGAAAAAGATGCTAGGAAAAATATATTTTGATCATAGGAAAATAATACAACGTATGTATAATAAGCTCATATACGAAACATCGAAATTGTGCATTAATAAATTTCTAATATTCATGTGCATGAGTCGCATATAAGAAATAAATCGTTATATATTGCAGTAAAACCTCTATAAGTGAACACCTCCTATTTGAACGCGTATCTCGGTCCCCCCGATCAATTTTTGCTGTAAATGAACCTCCAGATAATGAACACCCCCCAACTCTGAACAAATGATCGCTTTTTTTGGTCAATTCAGCTAAGAAAACCTCTATAAAATGAACACACGCGGCAACAATTTATAAGTTTGTGTGTGCAACAAGAGAAAAAAGAGATGAAAATTTTAGAAGAAGAATATAACGTGTATTCTTAAACAGGGTTACACTAATTAATCGGCGGTCTATTGATCAGAAAGAAAATTCGTCGTATGTATAGAACAAAAGGAACAATGAAAATGAATAGTCCGCGTAAAGATGATCACTTACATGTGAAATAGCAAAGCACTGTTCTATTTAAGATTGCGTGTGATGACAACGAAACACACATTAACCTTTTCTGCAAAGATACAGTTGATTCGTGAAAATGAAGAGAAGTTTTCGTACCGTACACTTGCTGACAAATATAAGATCTCAATCGGCAGTGTATCTAACATTATCAAGCGAAAGGTCGAGTATATTGAAAGTTATGAACAAAATGAAAGTTCAACTAAGAAGCGCAATCTACTAGATGAATTCAGTCAACAGCATCATAGAAATTCAATAGATATGTGTAAAAGATGAAAGAAGTACTCTTTGTTTTTACTTTAAGTTATTTGTAGTGAATTCTGATACGCAAGATGCGTAGTAGACACCAATGGGTATTACTAAACATGAACTGTATACATGCAAGAATTCAGTTAATGCAAAACCTCCATATAATGAACACTTCTTGATGGGTCCCGTTAGTGTTCATTATAGAGAGATTTTACTGTATATGTTTGTCTGTTCATAGAAAATATAGACTCTCATGTCTCAAAAATACAAAGCAAAAGACAAATGTCTATAGAACTATTTTGATGCAAAAAAATCTCATTTAAAACATTAGCAAGACACTATGATATAATTGCACAAAAAAAGAGCATTAGAGAGAACGATATGCTATATTCTTTCTATAGAATAATCTTCCAGTATATAGAAAAAACTTATTCTGAGGAATTTCTAGAGAAAAGAATGATCTATTCAAAGAATTTTGCTTCATACTTTCGAAATTATTTCATATACTAGCTATACTCTAGAAAGATCTCATTTTATTCTTATGTTTTCTCTTCTAGTTAATATTCCTGTCAATGCCACGTGGGCACAGAAAGGAATGACTATTGCTGGAGGTAACGGGGATGGGGATGCCACTAATCAACTCACCCGCCCTTTTGGTCTCTTCGTTGATGATGATCAAACAGTGGTTATTGCTGACTACAGGAATCATCGTATCACCCAATGGAAGAACGGTAATACAACGAATGGACAAGTTGTTGCTGGTGGTAAAGGCGCAGGAGATGGATTACATCAATTGGATCGTCCAACTGATGTATTAATTGACAAAGAGACGGATAGTCTCATTATTTGTGATTATGGGAATCGACGAGTTGTACGATGGTCTCGTCGTAGTGGTACAACACAAGGTGAAATACTCATCGACAACATCACTTGTCATGCAGTAGCATTGGATGATCAGAGATATCTCTACGTCTCTGACATCGGAAAACATGAAGTAAGACGATATCAATTGGGTGATAAGAATGACACTCTCTTAGCTGGTGGTAATGGACAAGGGGACGGTCTCAATCAACTCAATCGACCGACTTATCTCTTTGTCGATAGAGATCACTCAGTGTACATATCAGACAACAGGAATCATCGTGTAATGAAATGGGTGGAAGGTGCAAAAGAAGGTATTGTGGTCGCTGGAGGACAAGGCAAAGAGAATGCTCTGACACAATTGTCTTATCCTAATGGACTCTTCGTCGATACGTTGGGTACACTCTATGTAGCAGACTCGTATAATGATCGTGTAATGCGTTGGACTCAAGGAGACAAGAAACAAGGCACTGTAATTGTGGGTGGAAATTCCGAAGGAGAAGGAGCAAATCAATTCAGCGGCCCCGTTGGTTTGTCTTTCGATCGACATGGTAATCTCTATGTCGTCGATTATAATAATCATCGTGTTCAACGATTTTCTATTGAATAAGACTTGTCAATTGTTTTTTCTTTGTTCGTTTCTTTTTCTATACTTTGAAATAAATGAACAAAAACAAGAAATTTTCTTTTGCTCTTTCGCTTCAAAGAAAAGAAAAAGGCTAAAATATAAAATTACGTCATATGTTTCTTTTCTTCTTCTCTTATTTATTTATTTGTTAAATGAAAAGAAATGAATTAAATAAAAGATTTTGTTTTCTTCCGCAAAAAATAAATTGTGCTTTTGAAAATATTGTATTCCTGAAATGAAAATTTGCATTATTGAAATGAAAAAAAAATTTATATTATTTTTACAAATTTTAGTAGTAAAATGAAAAAAATTATTGGTACAAAATTATTAGTAGTAGTAAAACAAAAATAATTTATTAGTAAAATAAAAAATAATTTATTGATAAAATAAAAAATAATTTATTAGAAAAATAAAATAATTTATCAGTGAAATGAAACTATTTATTGGTGAAACGAAAATTATTTATTAGTGAATTCAAAATATATTATTAGTGAAATGAAAATATTTATTACTGAAACGAAAATTAATTTGGTTCCTTGAAAATATTTTATTCATGAAATGAAAATTTGTATTAATTTCGTAAAATATTTAAGATTTAAATGAAAAATAAAGTTTGTATTATTTTGAAAATATTTATTATTTAAATGAAAATTTGCATAATGTATTGGGTTGGCAAGAAAGTTTTTGTGTTTTTTTCGAAATTTTTATTTTCAATTTTTAACTTCAAGAATAGAACTAGCTTTCAACAATGTATGCTCCATTAGTATCTATGGCTTGTCGCCAGCGCTCTGGTAGAGAAAAGTTCACACGTTCGTAGAAGTCCTGGGACTTTTGGCCGAAGAAGTCGGCAAGATCCATTTTGAGGTGCTTCTCGTCGTCGAATTTTTTCTCGTTTAGATGATTGGACGGCGAACGGTACAAGTGGTAGTCTGTAGGAGCCAAGTCTGGAGAATCAGGTGGATGTGGAACAGTAATCCATCCGAGCTTCAATAATTTTTCCCGAGTCGACTTTGCGATATGAGGTCTGGCGTCGTCATGCAAAAAATAAATTTTGTCCTGCTTCCCCTGAAGTTTTGCTGCAACCCGGTCCAATTGTTTGCAGTAAAGATCAGCAGTGATGGTACAGCCAGTTGGCAGAAGTTCCCAATGAATAATTCCTTTTGCTCCCAACCAAACGCTAAGCATGATCTTCTTTGGATGGAGATCATTTTTGGGCGTTGATACACCTGTTTGTCCAGCTCCCAGCCACTGTCGCTTGCGTGTGTGGTTAACATGCAACACCCACTTTTCATCGCCAGTAATATGATTGTGGAGCCATTGGTAGTTGCGATGAGACGTCAATAATTTCATACAAGCGTCAACCCTATGTTGGAGCTGAAGTGGTGATAATTCATGTGGTATCCAAACTCCATATTTCCACGTTTTGCCTAATTCGCGCAGATGTGTTTCCACTGTAGCATGATAGCACCCAAGTCGCTCTGCTAAACACCGTGTAGTCAATCTAGGATCTTCTTCGGCAAGCTGCTTCAAAACATCCATATCCACTTCAAGTGGTCTTCCGACACGAGGTAAATCGTCGAGTTCGAAGTTATCGTTTTTGAACCAATTGAACGAATGTTGCGCTGTACGAATGAAGAGTGCATCCTTGCTCATCGTGCTGGATATGTTGCTTGTTGCTTCCGTTGTTTTGTAACCCAAACGGAATTCATGAAGTAAAAGCACTCGCAGCTCTTTGCAAGATATGTTCATTCCTAACTCGAGATCAACGTCCATATTTATATTTTTTTATTGTTCGAAAGATATTCGTGTCCCCTTTATATACCATTAGTATGGAAACTTCTAGAACTCTCTTGGCTGTTCTATGAATTTTTCAAAAAAAACGCAGAAACTTTCTTGCCAACCCAATAGATAAAAAATGTGTAATATATTGTAATTGAAAATAAGTATATAGTATATCAGATATATGTATTTATATAGAAATGTAAATACATAAGGACTTGAAAAGTTTTATTGTAAACATCAAATGAATTTTTTCTTTTTTAATTTCATATTAAATTATTTTGCATAATAGATTAAAAAAGCATCATATTTCGATAGAATATTGAATATATTTTAATTTATTTTGCAAGAAGTAACTGTATTTTATTTAATAACAATATTTATCTATTAAAAGCTATTCCAAAAATTAAATAGTTATACGCAAATTCGAATAGGTACACAGATTTAAAGATAAATAAATAAATAAATAAACTGTTTGTATCATTTAAACGAATCTTTTTTTCTGAGAGATAAATTTAATTTACATATATATGATTCTAAATAAAAGTTTTACATAGTGTTTATTATTTCACTGTTTTCATCTCGCTTTTTTTCAACAGATAAAGATAGTTATGAAAAGATATGCAATTTTAAATACCTACAGGAATGCTTTAATATTGATTGAAACAAAATCTTGAATTGCTTCTCATATATGGTTCGAGTAGGATTGGAAAAAAGAACAGCTGGAGATCAGAATTAGAAAGAATAAAAGGAAGTAACTTAAGAATACTATGGTGTTAGACATAGATGTACTATTTTTAATAGCCCTTTTTTTTTAATAAATATGAAAAAAAAACAAAAAAATTGTTTGTTTAATTCAAAAAAAATTGATTTCTTTTCGAAGATGATTTAAAATCGATGTGCATGATTTTACATTAGTATATAATAGGTTTATTAACTATTAATAGTTTTAAACAGCTGTAAGATTCTCACATCCAATAGGATTTTAAGTAGCTATAGGCACTTTTAAATAGTGGTATGCTTAATTAAGAAGTATCTCTTTTGAGAAGCTACGCATGTAATTACTTGTATGAAATGCTAGTATAATAAAACTCATAAAAAACAAACTACAGGTCTATGATACGTGTTACCAAAATTTTACAAACCTGTGTCTAAGATCTTGTTGCAGATCTTGATAGAAGAATAATGTGAATGTGTTTATGTTGTAGCGAAAATTTTAAGTTCTAAAACGATAAATTTTTCTATGGCTTTTATTATGAATATGATCTTGCTTTTACGATGTTTCACAAAAAAAAACGTTTTTCTGGAGGCCGTGACCTTGAAGAAACGATGACATAAATCCTCGAAATTTTACAGTTCACAGAAAAAAGTACATGACAACAACGTGGAATGCTATTAAATCTATTTCGAGATTAATTTAAAATGCGACGTTGATTTTTCAAATCATTAACTATTCATCAAACATATATGTGTGACATCTGCCTGGCTCATAATCATGCAACTTAATGGGCACAAGCTATTATGCGATCACATTCGATTGTTTCTTCAATGTATACTCCCTTTCGCTGCGCCAGATTTATCGAGTACTATAAATACTCGGATTGTTTTTTCATTTTCAAAACACATTCCAACTCGCCCAAATCGAAGTTATTGATTCGCAAAAATGACATTATATGGTCGTTTGCTTTATGCATGGTTACCATTGCTGGTATTCTTGTTACAAGCATTTCACGGTGGATTTGCACACAGTACGTTTATAGACTAAATCTTATAGACCTTTGATATTCTGCTGTATAATGAAAACATAAGTTGTGACAGCTACACTTCCAGCAGATTGGTTGATATAGATGGTTCAACTTGCTTCCTAAACAAAATAAGAACTGTCGCCCAATTCTCTTACTTTCGTTACAGTTTTGCGACACTTTAATGTCATCTAAGACAACCCGAGTTGATAATATAAAGTTCAACAATCACATTTGTTCATGCAACCCCAAAAAAATGCTTTCACTTTCCTTTTTTTGATGAATTTTTCAACGAAATTCTTTTCTGTATGATTGAGAGAAAAAAACCAAGCGCATGTTGATATTGCTCCTTCTATCTATGATGTTGTCAACTTTTTCAAGTGAAATATTCTACGATAATTTTGATCTTAGTCATTCCACCCTGTTGCCTCATGGCGACTCACATCAATTCCATTAAGTTGAAGATTTACGAAAGACACTTGTCCAACCTAAACCTACAGTAACATGGGTTTTACTTGGAACTTTTTCTTTAATAATACCACAACAAATTTCTTCCCAAACAATATCACTTTCAATCTATCGATAATACGTTCTTTGGCGCGATATTGAACATTCCGAAACCCGTCCCACGCAGAGAACCCATTCATTCAAATGTCTACAAATTCAGGAATTCGGACGAATAGCACATGTAGGGAATTCCACGCAATTCCTACTCTCCACGAAATTGAGTTATCATCCATGTCGACTAGCAAAGAACGATACTAGCCATGCCCACATCAACATTCGCACAGGCACTGATACGAACACCCTCACAACCACTACTCTCTTTTAGGCTACTACGATGACGACAACAATGGCGGATATGATCCAAATGCTCTTTGTTCAGAAGACCCAATTACATCTGCAATGGTATGCACCTGTAATGCTGGTTATACTAACACTGGTAGCGCCGACAACGTTGTCTGCACAGATATGCAATCGGCATCGGAAGATATACCCACAGATACGGTATCGGCATCGGAAGAGATACGCACAGATACAGGATCGGCATCAGGAGATATACGCACAGGTACGGTATCCGTCTAGTAAAAGCAGAAATATTGTGCTGTTGCATTCTTGTGTTGTGCGAAATGTTGTGTTGTATTGCGTTCTTCATCAATTCATCTATGAAATTAATTCTCCTTTTACTCTCATAATGCAAGTTTCTCCTAAGAATTATCAGATTGTCTTTCGCTCCTTAACTACTTTTTTCTTTGCATATAAGCACGGACGTCGCCTGTAAGAAAANTTATAGCTGGAAACATCGCGGTCTACTATTTTCTCTTTAAAGCAAATGAAGAAATTTCATAACTTACTTGATGAAATTGGGTATGATTCTGAAAGCTATAATGATCTGTGATTGAATTTCAGAATTAGTCAAAGTGTTCTTCTACCGATCAGGCTGTTTTCTCCTAAAAACGGTGTTGGTGATCCGTAAATTAAGAACTGAAACTAGATGGTATTCGAGTTTCACTCGTACGCGAAATGCGATGCGAAGCAAGAATCCGTATATCGTACGAAAAATCTTCAATTGATAGATATTAAATAGTTTTTCTATAGCCATAATTCAATTCATCACTGAGAAAACTATTCTTAAGGATCGATTTCGATTGATCGATTAATTATCTCCATGATTGGGTGTGGGTGAGGGTGTGGGTGAGGGTGTGGGTATAGATTAGCAGAAGAATCACACCCACACTTCAGCGCGATAGAGAGAAAGATCTCCTTTTATTCTTATGTTTTCTCTTCTAGTTAATATTCCTGCTAATGCTAACTGGGCACAGAATGGAGTGACTATCGCTGGAGGTCACGGGAATGGGGGTACCACTAATCAACTCAACTACCCTTATAATGTCTTCGTTGATGATGATCAAACAGTGGTTATTGCTGATCCCGGGAATAATCGTATCATGCAATGGAAGAATGGTGATACAGCGAATGGACAACTTGTTGCTGGTGGCAGCGCCGCAGGAAATGGATTGAATCAATTGAATAGTCCAAGAGATGTATTAATTGACAAAAAGACGGATAGTCTCATTATTTGTGATTATGGGAATCAACGAGTTGTACGATGGTCTCGTCGTAGTGGTACAACACAAGGTGATATACTCATAAAAGACATCCACTGTTGGGGATTAGCAATGGATGAGAAGAGATATCTCTACGTCTCTGACTGGAAAATGGATGAAGTAAGACGATATCAATTAGGCGAGAACATTGGCACTCTCGTAGCTGGTGGTAATGGAAAAGGTGGTGGACTCAATCAACTCAACGAACCGCATTATCCCTTTGTCGGTCGAGATCATTCAGTGTACGTGTCAGACTACAACAATCAACGTGTAATGAAATGGAATAAAGGTGCAAAAGAAGGTATTGTAGTTGCTGGAGGACAAGGTGGAGGGAGTGCTCTTACACAATTGAGTCTTCCCTATGGAATCTTCGTTGATACGTTGGGTACACTCTATACAGCAGACTGCTACAATAATCGTGTAATGCGTTGGACTCTAGGAGAAAATAAACAAGGCACTGTAATTGTAGGTGGAAATGGCTATGGAGCAGGAGCAAATCAGCTCGGCATCCCCACTGGTTTGTCTTTCGATCGACGTGGTAATCTCTATGTCGTCGATAATAATAATAATCGTGTTCAACGATTTTCTATCGAATAAGACTTGTGAAATTGTTATCTCTTTGTTCGTTTCTTTTTCTATACTTTGAAATGAATGAATAAAAAAAAAGAAATTTCCTTTTACCCTTTCAATTCAACGAAAATAAAGAAGCTAAGGGTGTGGGTGTGGGTGGGTGTGGTATTATTCTTCTTCTATACACCCACACCCAAATAGACATTTGTAATACAAATAAAAATCTAATATGAAGATGCAAATTCTGTATATGCTTCTTGAGTCTTTTTAACACATGCTTGAATGATACTTAATGATAAACCATTTAAAACTTCATCGGCAGCATTTTCTAGCTCACATTGTGATTTAGGATTTTTTTTGTATTATAAATGTCTATTCTTGTAATGTTCATATATCCGCCTGAAAAAAAATAGTTCGACAATGTATTTTCAATAAATTATTACTGTAAATTAACCTTTTTGAAAAAGTAAGGATATATTCGGATAGCCCGAGGAGTTCTCTATAAAACTATATGTAAACATTTTAGATTGCAATTCTCTTAAAAAATTAATTCACATACAATAAAGGCACCCTCATGTGCAGATTTCCAAAAACAAAAATTTTTGGGGTGCGAATTTCGCCAATGTGCCCTGACGACTTTCGCCAATTGGCGAGAGTCCACTGTCCTTTCGCCAATATACCCTGACGACTTTCGTCAGTGTAACTTGTACATTAATTGAAAACAGCAAGATATATTCTGCAACCCACCCCATCTCAGATGCATCCAGCATTTATATTCATTTGTCATAAATGGCAAAAGTTCATCAAACTTTTCCCAATTGGCGAGAGTTAATTGTACATTCGCCAATGAATTTTCAGATTTTCGGATTTTCGCCATTGGCGAATGTCCAGTTGGCGAAAGTCTTATTGGCGAAATTCGGGTAAACCAAATTTTTTAAAATTTTCATATAGTTTTTCAATTTTTTTTAAATAGAAACAATTTATTACAAAAATAACTACATAATATACTAATGTTGAAACTCGAGTAATCGTTGTCCTCTTTCTTTTCGAATGCTTTACATGTGACCACTTTTGACTTCTCGTTTTTCTTTCTATTTTCTCGAGAACAGAGTTAAGTTACATAAATTAGTTTATAACCTAGTGTTATGGATACCTATCCACCAGTTAGTCCGGATCTAAATGTTGTTGAGAGTGTATGGTCATGGATGAATCGGTATGTTCAAAGAAATCATCCACATTCTCAACAGCATTTAGAAAGATTAGTTGAACAAGCATGGGATGCAATTCCTCAAAATGCTTTGAGTGGATATATTAATCACATATCGACTATTTGTAATCTAATCATATCTAATAATGGCTGGGAAAGTATAGGATGATAGAGACTATTTTTCTTGTCACTGAGAATTAACTTGTTCTTTCTATCGCTTAGAATATATATAGAAACATGTGCATGTATAAATTTCATCGTAGACATAGCAGAACGACATTGAAATGCAACATATTGTAGCTGTTCTTAACGAAACATAACATCATCAAGTTTCATACGAAATCGTAAATGATTATGATAGTTTTATTTTGTTTCTTATCTACGGAAAAATTACTTTTTCAGCTCATATGAAGCTAAAGCAATAACTATAACTACTGTTTCTTTTTGTACCATTTGACTTGTGACCTAAAGAATATTGTTCTTCATAATATGAAATTGGTGTTATATTGAATATTTCTCAAAAGTTATTATGATTATTTTTCCAATTGATATTTTAAATTTATCTACGTTGAGAATTAAGCAACCAGAAATTGAATAGATATATTTAAGTGTTAAATAAACTATAGAATATTCAACTTTTACATGAAAACTTCGCTGACATTATAGACAAAAGTGTTACTTCGCAATTTTTTCTTTGCATTCAGCAACACTTCAGAATCAATATCTAGATTTTTATTTTGCTATGATGTTATCACAGTACCCAACTATATAAGAATTTTCTTTACTCTACAACCGAACATATTATTTGCACAAGTTTATACATATACGTGATATAATTTGAGTTTTCGTTTTCGTCTTGGAATGCTTTTCTCATCAATAAATCTTGAAAGAGTATTGCGATTATTGAAAACCAATACTAGTCTTTTTGCAGCACTTATAGGAAATATTTTTACTCTACAAATTACTCATGCATTTCATTCTTAAAGTTAGAAGACGTCTTTTAAATTATGTTTTTCTTTATGAAATATAACTATTGAAGATTTCAGTACTGTTAAAAGTTGTGTTTGAATTATTCACATGTATATGTAAGCTACGTCGACGCAGTTTATTTCCTAGTGTCATTGAGCACATCTTATCGCTATAAAGATTCTATAATGTCTATAAATATATCTGCGTTCAATGACATTCTTCGCAGTTATTCTACAAATAATAAGACTTCACAGTACTTCTTGAGAAATGGTATGTGAATCAAATTCGCTTAATGATATCCTGCTCAGTTGAGTTAGTATTAATAAAACTGACTCCAATTTTATTAAAAGTACGAACTAGGTGAGGTTTCAAAAATCTTTCATAGTTGCAAGTCATACGAAAAAGTGATCCTTTGAAAGAAACTATGAATAAAACTACGAATTGAAATAATTCACTTGAGCCATTTTAGTAAATTTATTGTAGTTATTTTGAAATCTTTCATAGCCATTTAATTAATCTTTTGTCTAAGAGTCATTTGGTTGAGGTTTATATCGGATTGTAATGTAAGTTGAAACGTTTCGTGATCAATATTGATTTTAATGAATAGTTGCTTTTATTAAAATTTATTTTCTTGTTGATTCTACTTGTGAATACTTTGTTCCAATGTTAAAATAGTAAACATTCTGTTTATTGAGTCTCAATTTTTCATTAAGTTAAATTCTTAATTTAGAAGGAGATCACGATCATTTGCAAAAATGTTTAAACCTAAGTCATATGTTTTGGATCTATACAATTATAATTTAAACTATCTCAATGAAGTGATGCAATATTTTATAGTCTAGGAGAAAATATAATAGGCCTACTAAGAAATATTCTAGTTACTACAAAACTGCAAAATCTATATTTGTTTGATCGTTTATTGATCAGTGGATATGTGTGTGTGTGTGTGTGTGTGCACGTATAAAATGTCGCATCATTCTGGTATCAGAGAAGAAAAATAGGTATTGTGTGAAACGCATTTCGACTGGTTAAAATAAAAATGATAAGCTACACACTCTATTGTGTGTAGCGTGTGAGTGTAGCTTATATTAGCCCAATAAAGTATCTTTGTGGCTTTGCTCTCATTAACTGTTTAGCATAGAAGAAGAAATGCAAGCATTTTCAAACTTTTGTGAAAATATTCATCGTCTTCTTAGTTTAAATTCATCACTTGGTGATACAACTTTCATTGTCAAACACCTCGAAGATGATGCATTAAATCTATGCTTTTCTTTCGACACGAAAATACAATTTCTTCGCGATGATTTACTCGCGAAAAACAATGAACTTATTTAAAAAAATGGAAGAACGTTTCAATCTTGCACAGGAATTGAATACAACCAAGGATTCTGCACATGCGATTATTAAGTGTTTGAACATATCTCTCAAAGCATCTTCTCACACAATTGCTCGCACCTTCATAGAAATGATTACTCGTCAGCATGTACATTCTATGAATTCAGCTATTGAAAAACTAATGGATAAGGTTCGTCGTGAAAAGAATTATTCAGTGAGTAATAAATCACTATTTCATTGCAATTAAAAATCTTTCTTCTCGAATCACAGCTGGAGTACCATTGATCTTATTAAAGAAGCGAAGAAGAGAACGTTTTGGAATACAATGACTGTGGAACAACAAAAAGATGCTGATCTTCTTGTCAAATGGCATTCACAGGGATCGAACAAGAAGAATTTTGTCTCAACAAAAGATATATTGAAGCGTATATGGGGAAAATTGAAACCTATGGATATTGTGACAACTCTCAAATATCAGAAGTACGGCTCGCTTTTTGATAAACATGAACAAATAGAGGTGAGTGAAGAAAAAAAAGTAATTTGAATCACATTTTTTTTCTCATTTAATCTTTTTCATGGAAATGTGATCGATATTTTTTTTTTCTTTTTGTAGAAAGCATTCACTAATTTGTACCAAACTTTATCTGAAGCTATACACAATTGTGGCGTTTGCTATGAAGAAGAAGTGCTACCAATTCCAGATCTGATTGAAAATGTATTTAACAAATCTGACGCATTAGTACTTGGTAAGTTAAAGAATTTCCTTCTTCATGTTTTCTTTTTCTTTGTAATCTAGCTACATTTTATTCGATTACATTGCCGAACATGCCATATGAAATAGCGGCACACGTTGGTTATCTATCTTCAAATTCATCGTATTGGCTCAACAGTCTCGATTTGAAGAATTGCTCGAATACTCCCACCACCACGACTGATGCAGCTAAGGAAAAATCATTCAAGCGAAAATTGATTGAAAATGAAGAAAATGAAGGACATTAATATTGTGAAAGAGTTTTACATGTGAAACAAATATTAACATTTCTAGACTAGAACATGGACATATATTTTCATCAGCATTTGTTAATTGAGGTAAACCTCTCTAATTATTTGAATAAAATAAATCCATTAATTGTGTTAATAATTTTTTGCAATGTTTCATTGTTTGTTTCAAAATATTTTGTTGTTTTGACCAATAACGTTTCGCTCCTATATAATAACCAGTTATAACCATAACCATTCAGGACCATTGTGATAATTAAACCTATGTGCTCGTTTATAATCATGTGAATCATCATTATTAACAAAATCAATTTTAACAAATTATTTTATTTATATATAAATAAACTTTTTGTACCTTTAAGTCCATTTATATATTCTATGGATTTTACAACATTTTTAATTAATTCTTCATTTAATGGACGGTTAAGTGATGCTTCAATTAATATTTTATCAATAGGACCTTCAATTGATAATGAATTTATACGTTTTCATTTTACTCCGACTTGAAAAAACGATGTAAGAGCAATTAATAAGATTGATTTATGAGTTAATGGATTACAACGAGTTATTAATAATACTGATGTAGATAATTGATCAAACCATTAACTAAATATCGTATATAGATTTAATTATTTATAAGTATTAAAATAAAATCAAACCTGAGTACAATCTTGTTGAGCACGATACACATGTCATTTATTCAAAGCTTTTTCAATTGAAATTACTGCTGTCTTTTCATTAGTTTGATAATTTCATTTGGGATAAAATTTCGTTTCATGAATAAGATCAATATAATGTGGAACTAATTCATCGCAACCTCTATTTGAACCAGTTGAGCAATTAGCAAAAGTACCCATAGCTGAATGTGAAAGAACATCTTCAACAGATCTAATATCAATTTCACATAGATTATCATGTGTTTGATCATAATACCATAAATGTAGTTTTGTTGTTTCTAATGGTCGGATATTATCGAGAATAGGGGTGTGGGTGTGGGCCTTTAGAGGATGAAGTGTTCTACATATCCACACCAACACCCACCCACACCCCTGGTTTTCAATTTTTTCACGTAGAAGTTGATGTTCAGGTAACATTAATACTTGCCCTAGTGAAAGTACTCATCAAGCGAGTACTCAAAAAGTACTCACGCTAGAAAATGGCTCGAGTTCTTATGAGTACTCTGGGGTTTAAGTACTCATTAGTAGTACTTGTGCTTGGATCTAAGTATCTGAGTGCGACTGTTGAGTACTCGCCTTATAAAATCGAGTGTTTCGTGAATACTCATCATATATTCTGTGAGTACTCTAGTGGTTTTTTCGTAAAATACTCAGGCACATATTTTGTTCAGTATCCTTTTACTAGGTTCATTTTATTTATTTCAAAAAGTACTCATAGAACAGAGAGTTACACGATCAGAATCTGAGAAACGAAGTGTTTCATAATCTTAAAATGCTTTTTAATTATGGCACACCCAGGGCGAGAAACCAGACGGTAAGATCTTACAAGAATCGTACGTTTGATCATATCTGATCTGATAAGAACAGATGAAAAATCGTACGCAAAATCGTCGTATCAGAAGATTCTTGAAAGGTTCTGTTACTCATAGAAATATCATTGTGATATTTTATTTAAACTAATATCTTGTTAAAATATCACGACAAATTTGTATTAAAAAAAATTGCATGCACAATCTTCAAAGAAAATACAGTATGACTAGATGCAAGATTTCAGAGACGGCGATTTTTTGTCTGATGCTTGTAAGATTTCATTCAGATTGTAAGATCTGACGTCCGGACTGCAAGATCTTTCGTCAGATTTTTTGACCTGAGCAGAGATAAAACATTTATCAGTATAATACAAGAAAACTAAATAAAAATCTGTATTGAGAACACTACAACATTTGTAAACGCCAGCATAAATGAGAAATAAATCATTGATCAATCTATTATATACAATAACAAATCCCATTTACAGTATATCTTTACAAAAATATACGAACATTTTAAATTGAAAACTATATACATTAATTAACGAATAGAAAATGTATAAACTGTCTTCTGTATGATAGATGTTTCTTCGGAATATTGAATTTTATGATTTTGTGTAAAAATTTCTCATTCATCCTGTTTCGTTTATTTTCAAAGAAATCTTTAGCTATACTCGAGAAATGAAATGAATTTTTTTTATTCTTTAAACAGTCAATTGATTAAGCCACACGAGTGACTAATCACAAAGTATGGAGAATAAATTTGATAATCTATTTAAAAAGTTCTTTCGTAATTTTCGTGATGACTTGACCTTTGCTTCTTGCATTATAGAATCATTTCAATTCTTTTTCGGATGACAAAAATAATTTTTACACTATTATTTCTGCGCGTTGGTACTATGCGTTCAACGTCGCACAATACACATTCGATGATGATGACCTTGCATGGGGATTCGGAATTTCAATATTTCAGTCTGTTGGATCAGCCATTTTTGATTACTAAAGTATCTAAGGTGCAACAATGTCGAACGATATGTCTTTTTCAAGAAGAATGTCCCACAAAGAACTTTCATGCCTCAACGAATCAGTGTGAATTATTTGTCGACACACCCGGCAGTGCTGGTTACATCTTTGCCAACGTAGGTTCCGTAGTCATGCTTGTTATCGATGGAACACATGTACCTTCAAGTTAGTATCAAAACAAATATTCTTCTTAGTTAAATAGAGCGATTTGAGTTGCGTTAATCAAGACCGTCGGCACATATAAAAACAATTAGTGGATGGCAAAAGTTTTCTTTTTGCTCATAACTATTTTTTAAGATTCTACATCATGAAATAGGTGATTTTCATTTGTTCCAACAAATAAGATGTGTACCAATCCCACACAAACCGATCTAAAACCACGGTTAACCGTCGGTTTTTACACTTTAAAGTCGCTGAAATGACTTACATAACCGCGGTTAACCGATTTTTCTCAATCAGTTTGTGCGACACGAGTAATTTCGATAAGAACCGAATAATCCATGTTGACTGTCAATGTTCAGATAGACAATAGCAAACAGTATACAGATGTATTCAACCTTAGATATATGAAAAGAAACTGTTGAGAATCTATGTTTTTTTGGTTGCTTTGAGTTTATCTACTTGATGCTTTTTATTCTTAACTACTTCGAATACTCCACACGTATGTAGCATTTTCGGTGTCAATCAATCATGGATTTCCTCTTCGAATCTCTTGGCTTCATGGCTATTCGATGGAACTTATGTTGATACAACATTCGCATATAATCTCACAGCTAGCAATAGCCCTGTCTTTGTACCAAATGGCTACTTGAACCAGGCAGTCTCGTTTACTGCGAGCGCAAACCAAGAATTAACCACTTCATATATTCTATTGAGAAACACAAGTTTTACGGTTAGTGTTTGGTTGTATCCAACTGGATTTCCTAATGTAAAAGACCACAGTATTTTTATTTTGTGTCCTGCTAATGTTCCTAACGGATGTCTCCATATAATCATCCGGATAATAGGAACTGATGCCAAACTGTATCTTGGATTTAATTATAATGATTGCCACGGAAATACTACGATATTGATTAATAAAATGATACATGCTGCATGTGTTTTCAATATAACTACAAGGGAGCAGTCGATCTATCTCAATGGATTACCTGATGGCATCAATATTCCTACATCCCCTCTCCTAGTATTTATGGGTAATGCTATCATTGGCAACAATCCAACTTTCGTGCCGTTGGAAGGAACAAATGTTTTTCAGGTGCCTATATTCTTTCTACTGATTGATACTTTAATATAATAACTAGAACGTTTTTTTCTCTCTTTTATAGGGCTACATAGATAAATTAACGGTCAGTCGTCGTCCAAAAAGTGCATATGAAATACTCGAAGAAGCTACACTTGCTGCTCGTTTTCCTTTTGACAATACGACCATCCTCGTTGATTTTGGACCTAACGCAGTATCAGCAAATGCTTCGTCTTATTCGATTTTAACTAACGGTCACTCCCTTCAAGCAATTGGATTCAATGGTTCAATGTCTTATTTTCAAACGTGGGGTTTTACTCAATTCAGTATCAATAATCAACCATTTTCGATATCTCTTCAAATGGTGCACTCGTTGCTCAAATCTCGAATGGAACAACAATATTATCTGTTATTGCTCCGGATTTTATTCCTCTGTCGACACCATCCTGGACTCATATAGTACAAAAATGGAGTTCAACGAATGGTCGCAATCTCTATGTTAACAATATTGTTGTTGACTCTCAACCGTCGACAACAACGTTCGCAGCTAGTGGCATAACACCTAATTATGTCACACTAGCCAATAGCCTTCTGGGATCAGGATCATGTGGAGTCGTTGCAATCAACAGCAACAATTCATTCATAGGTGGTGTTGATGATTTTCGAATTTACAGTCGAGAATTATCAGCTACCGATGTATGCGCGTTATATCTTGGTTAGAATGTGTAAACGGCGAGAAAATAAATACATGGAATTACAGTGACCATTACTAATATAAATGATTGGTCTCATTATTTGTCCTGTTCATTTTCCTGTTATAATATTCTCTCCTAATTTGTTGCAAGAATAGTGAAGGAATGTGCTCTTGAATAAAATCTACATGATTAGCGATAACAACGTTTTTAGTCGTGTGTTCGAAATGATTTGCTGAACATTTGATAAATGTCTTCTGGTAGTACACTCATGTTTATTTGTTTGTAAGTTTCCTTCGTGTTGCGTAGCCTTTCTTACGTATTGGAAGTCTGCATAACGTTGGTGCCTATGTTTCCTCGGATGCAATTTAGAGTTATCAATATGCAGTGCCAAGCATCAATGATGAAGCAGGCGTTCATGTAGCAGAAACTACCAAAAACAATATTTGAATGAAAACTCGAAGATGGAAAAAAAATTTCTTGGATGAACTATAGGATTCTGTGAAATGATTGCCATATTTATAAAAAAAACACAACAAGAGTATTACATTTTTTCGCTTTATAAACACAATCTTTGCCGGTCTCATAAATTCCAACGTTGTTCTAGCTAGTGTGAGTCAGATATATATATGATATTGTCCTTTTCTCTTTCACTTTCTTCTGTTCTGCGATCACATGTAGATGACAGGTCCGATATACGCATACGTGTATTTTCTCTTTTCTTTCATGTTGATGCAGTATAGGTATTTTTCATATCAATATGACTATTTCCAAGTAACCGTTGGATTTTTCCTAGTTCATTCATTTATAAAGTCGTTCTTTACAAATTAAAGATGATATTCATTATTGATCAGTTAGATTAATTATACGTTACCAACCGTACTTAAGAGAAAATTACACAGTGTGTGTTCACCCTTTCTCCATCGATATAGCGATTATAACAAATCGACAGTACCTGTTGATAGCTTATGGTAATTCAAGCATAAAAACTAAAAACTACCATGTTGGAAAGAGGAAAGCACGTGCGTGTCGTCTCATTCACTCGACAGCAAAAATAACACTTGTATTTAGCAGCATTTTCTACTTTCTATGCTTTAACTGTACACTTAGAACAAAACATATGACGCGGATTTTATATACACGGTACAAGAAAAACAGTGGAAAATTTAAAAAAATATTCCGATGCCGTATATTGGTCAAGAAAGATCAAGTAGCTATTGAACTTAAACATGCAGATTTCTATTCATCTTTCCAGAAACGACTCAATCAAAGATTTAGTTAAGTATTTAATTAATTGTATCAAAAACCATGTTTCTCTATTTGCATCTGCTTTTATTCCTGGTGTATTTAATTGAGTTAAAGAATATACGTATTTCAAGTATCTTGAGTTGAATCGAGCGTCATCGTTCTTTTCTTTCATTAGGAAATTACTGAAAAGAGTTTAGCAATACTAAAAAGACAACTCGATGAATTGCGCGATTCTAAAAGCACGTTACTAGTCAATTAAATAAATTAGAATTTTTTGAAAGTGTTTTTATCTATTCTTTCTTATGAATTCCTTCCATGGGCGGCTTAGTGTTAGTTTTGGGCCATACTATACATGCCATAGCTAAAGAACTGATGGGTATCGATCGTTCTGTTAGTGGTTCAGCTATTCCAAACGACAAACCATTATGACATATGCAAAATACAATTATGCTTGGATAAGAATCACTTGTTCTTAATCAGTATTTTTATAGGAAATTAAAAGAAGCAAATCTATCATTGAACCCAAAAATCGCGAGAATCAATGAAGCACCACTGATAATGCCAATCAAAAACGTCTCGAAACATTAGCCACGCACTTGTCTATAACGGTTCAATGAAAAATACATACCATTTGGTTTTGAAATTACCGGTTCTCTCACGTCGCTTAACCTATATATTGACGAAGTATATTCGAATTCAGTAGTCATAGTAATGCATCGTTACGCAGCAGTGATCGAATCATTGAAATTAATAAAGTGAAACTGCCCGAAGAAAATTGGTTCAAGCAAAATGATAAGGGCACGTGAAAATATTTGTCAACGATAAGGATACCTAAGTGTTTATATTGAAAGAAACATTTCAATTTCTAAATATAAATCAATAAACATATATACATATATATTACTTCTTTTATTTCAGATTTTCGCTGTATCTCAGTATGCAGTATTTTTTTTCTAGATTATTTTAATATCGCGATCATATGCGCACCACGAACTTTTTAAACAACTTTGATATTTTGGCTGATCAACGAGCTACTATTAATAGTTGTCGATTCTTGTCATCGATTTTTTTCCAATTTTACTTGACATTCTATCAAACAATATTTAGAAAATTTTCAACTACTTGAAAAACTGTAATTTTAAATTTGAAAAAAAGAACAAATTACTTTATCAAAATATTATTGAAATGCAATCCTTTCTAGAATTAGTAGCTTGCGGATCAGCTAAGCCGTTTTATCAATCAATTAGAAATCACTCGAAATGTTTTAAATTTTTACAGTGTTCCTAACTGTCTTTTTCAAATAATAATCGTAGTATCCCTAATATTTGTCGTCGCTTTCAAGAACATCAATCTGTTTTTGCAGTGAGAGTATATTATATTTATCATATTTTATAGATATATTTCAGAATCAGAAATCGATATGTCTTCATTGCCCTTTAAATGTGATGGTGATGGTATTCCGCAACCAGTGAGTAGGTTCTATTGAATATTTTGCTTTTATTTTTATTGATATTTCTATTCATAGTTGTGTTAGAAAATTTCGTATTCAAAAAGGATATCTCATGTAAAGTCTGTGATGAGAATGCGATTTTAGTGTTTATCAATCCAATTTCATAATGCACTTTCACGTATATCCGTCATTGATTCAGTTAGAGACTTTTAAGACCAAAGGATAATCGTGTAGTTCACTCTGGATGATAATATATCTATCTCGAAGCAGCCTTCTGGTGTTCTATAAAAGCCTGTGATGAACAACACCGGTTTTATAAATAAAACAGTTGTCTGCGCCAATACAGAACTACAAATGCAGTGAAGGAATGATTACACTACATTCTTTAAATGCGAAAATTTTCAAGCTACATAGTTTTAGATCAGGAATATTTTACATTATCATAATCAGAAAAATGAATTCGATAGTTAGTAACCTTTACTGTGTTTAATATTTTCCTATCATTTTGAATAAAAGTTTTATATTAATTCTCTCTTGTGTAGACGCCAAATTCTAAAAGTCAAAGTTCACCAATTATTGTGTGTCATGGTGATCTGATAACACGAGAGGTAATTTCAGTTTTGACATATGTACACCTTTCTTCTAAAACGCTTTCATTTCATTTATTAGGCAGATGTCATTGTTGTTTGTTCTTCATCTGAGTATTTATTTGAAAGCATTTGTCAAGCTGGTGGTGATCCTGTGTCGGCTTCATACAAACAACAAAATAGTAGAAATCCTAATGCACCGATAATTATCGTTGAGTCAGCTGGAAAAATTGCATCAAAAACGATTTACTTTCTTCCATGGAAAGCAAATCCGGATGAATCTATACTTCGTAAATCAATTGAAAATTTTGTTTCGCTTGCACTAGAAAAAGCAATAGAACAAAAGTATCGAAGTATTGTATTCCCCGCTATTGGTTGCGGTGGATTCGGATGTTCGATTCAGCTCATTGGACGTACTATGATTGAAACAGTTTACAGTAAATTAAAAACCTATCAAATGTCGGTTTCATTTGTAATACAGCCAAACAAGAAACATATCTATGATGAATTTAAAGAGCATGTTGACGCATTAAAACTACCATCAGCATCATCCATTGAATTGAGAAAAATAGCTGCAGATTTTGGCAAGGGAGTGATCGAAGTTGAAATGGGGGATATAACAACGCAGACGGTATTTAAATGAAGAATAATATTCTTGCCAAGCGTCAATGTTGTAATATTTATTTTTAATAGGTAGACGTTATTGTTGGTAGCACTTCATCTGGAATCTTAAGAGAAATAATACTAAAGGCAGCTGGTAAAGAAAGTCAACTGGCATACGAAATTGAAAGAAGAAATCATCCGAATTATATACTGATTGAAATACCAGCAGGAAGTCTACAGTGCAAAAAAATATTTTTTGTTAAGTGGGGGCCTAATGATAATGAAGAAATACTTCAACAATCTCTTATTGATCTCATAAATATTGTCGTACAGAATGTGATATCACATAAGTTTACATCGATTGCATTTCCAGCCATTGGGTGTGGAAAAAATGCGTGCTCACTAGATATTGTAGTTAAAACGATGGTTAGAGAAATGAAAAAGCATCTGATCCAAAGAAAACTATCTTGGAAAGTAAAATTTGTAGTCAACACCAATCAAGAAAACGTTTACGGTGAATTTTGTAAACAAGTACTCAAAACAGAAGATGGTAAAATAAATATTTCCTTTTCACTACTTGAATTCCATCATGCTATTCAAAGAAGAAATCAAAAATTCTTTTAAAAAACGAAGGGCCCAATTTATTCTGCTCCACCCGATACATCATATTTATAGTTCTTACTAATCATCTCATTATAACGATATATACCTAGACACTGAAAAACAAACAAATAGTTATTTGAATACATAGCCATGTGTTATTATTACCCATTGTATTATATAAGGCGAAACTAGTATTTAAATCTCAGAAATGTTTTTTTTTCTGAACTTGCGAGTTCTTGCTCCTACTTTCACGTTGATTTAAGTTAGGCAAAATAATTTCTTGTAGTCTGATATACGTACGTTTTGTGTTGTTTTTCTATGGACATTTATCTTCGGATTTATAACAAAAAATAACGATGAACTTGAATTTAAGTTGACATAAAAAGATTTTAATAAAACCACTTTTCAGCCAGTTAAGTAGAATAAAAGTGAACGATTGTGAGATCAGCCGTAAATATCCAATTAAGATGAATAACATCATAAAAACGTATAGAATCGAAACTCCTTCCTTTATACAACACACACAAATCTTTCAACAAATTCTTTGTTTAGGTTTTTATCAACGTCCCTGCTATCAATTACCTGCAACATGGGAGAAATCGGCAGAAGATAAAATCCGCTTTACGTTGTCTACAAAAATGCATGAGTACAAATCTATTGCTTCTAATTTCGACCAAACTATGAAAGGGAAGTACACAGATATTATAAAAATCGAACGAATTCAAAATGAAAGAGGGTACCTGCAATACTTAGTACATAGTAAAGATTTCCTAAAACGACTCAAAGTGGATACAGAAAAACGCTTATATCACGGTTGTCCTGAACAAGCTGCGAATGCAATTATCGTAGAAGGTTTCAACAGAAGTTATGCTGGAGAACATGGTGAGTTAAATGCCAATTGATTTAGGAGTTTTGATTCTGTGCCTTTTTTATGTGTAGGAACTCTTTATGGCTTTGGTGTTTACTTTTCTTCCGATGCAGCCTATAGTCATGGATACACTAAATCAAATGCAAATGATGAGCGATGTATGTTTTTAGCCCGAGTTTTAATAGGAGAAACTACCCAAGGAAATCATAAGATGAAAACTCGACCACCTGGATTTGATTCAACTACGGATGGTAATCATATTTTCGTTACATATCATGATGCACAAGCATTGGCCGAGTATTTGATTACATACAAATAGACTTCCATAAATGTCTGAGGGCGGGAAGAATATATTTCTTACATGAACCAGAGAATTTTGCAAAATTATTCAATTTTTAAATATTATTTCTAATAAAAATTTAAAATGTTCTGCCGATCCTTTCTTAAAAATGTATTCAACTTGCTATCATTCTCTGAGTATTAGATATTAAAATAAACTTTCGAGTCGTGAGGGCGTGGGTGTGTGGGTTAGGATCTTTGTTCATCAAAGTAGACCCGCACACACCCACACCCTGTTCACATAATCGATAATATCCTTGAGAAAATCTAGTTCAATCCTAAAGGGCTGTCATCAGGAATATCCTTTTTTAATTTCTGAATTATTCAAATCGTGACAGAATCCTGAACGGCCGTGGCTACAAGCTTTTTTCAGGAATCAGTGGTTCTTGGCTCAATCTTAGTTTGGAAAACAGTGGTAAACCTGTCAGAACCCTTGAAAGTCTTGTTCTAAATCTTGACATGATCTTGATATTGCCTGGCTACACGCTGTTTTCAGGATTCAGCGTTTCCTCAGGAAAAAAGCAAATTCTTGCAGGATCTTTTACGTATCTATCAAAGATCTTGTACTGAAATATAAAAGATTGTGCCTAGGGATCCATATCTCAAAATAAAACATGGTTCACCTCGTTCTCGCTTGATTTGTAAATGCACAATTCTGAAGAGTGTTTTAATATTTGAATAAAATAAGAATGAGACACGTCGGCAAATTAATTGTGCATTTATTTTATTTCATTGTAAGCAAGAATCAATTTTTCATTAAGATTCAAATAGTATACTGACAGACAGCCGATTTCTGAAAAGCAACAGTTGGGAATAGCAGATTGATTTATTTTCTTCGTCAAGAGATAGGTGGATATCGATACATTGTTACGTCAATAGTCTTGGAAAATTTATTACCTACGGAGTAGAAAATTCTAAAAATGCCTGTTGATGATTCCTTTAGCAAGGATCGACATGCGTCGTATTGTGCTATGAATTTACAAATTGTATTGAGTTTTGAACTCGCCTTCATCCTCACTCTCAAGAACTGAAACTAGCAGATTGATTTGTATCCTCGAATTGATATAAATCGATCTGTTGACAATTGATATGTAATTTTATTTCGTGTTTAAAAAAAAGTTTCTTTGTCGCTTCGGATTTACAAATAACGCGAGTCACTAGATAAACATGGAGTAAGTAAAACTGCAGTTTTTGCCACCATGGATAAAGGCTGTAGGATGAATCAGATGCGCTATACAATACATTAATATTTGTTGAGAAGCTTCTGCAGTTGTGTATTATATTTTATGCACTTTTCGAAATACGTATATCAGAATAGAAATTACTACACCAATTAGAATGTATACAATTAGAGGAATGTTAAAAAAGAATGAAATGACAGCGAGAACTGACACCTTAGAAATATAATATAATGCAGGCAGGAATGTAGCCACTGCTAATAGTATATGAAACTGAGCCAACAATGAATTTACAGATCTTTCCTGTTGACATTCCAAAATAGAACTATAAAGGGCGAAACAGAAGCGTAAGTAGAAAGTTATTAACAAGAGTTTTGATTCTTCACCAAACGTAAATGTCGTGGGACTTCGCAAGAAATTAAATGTACTGCATATAAATACAGAGTCCCAAGTTCCACTTAGGTTGTAATTGACCAATCCGTCGAAGCACATTCCTAATAGCTGCGCTACACTTATTGAAAATAGATCAATGTTAAAACGGCATATTAGGCTGCACAGAAATAAAAACACCCATTGAATCAATGGAGCGTACCAGCGGTCAAATGGGTTTAACAGCGCATAACATAATGAGAATCCTAGTGATGAATCGCAGACAAATGACCGTAATAATTGTAGAAAAAAGTTACGTTGTAAAAAGTGATTTATTCGGTAGTAGTTATATCCTCTTTGGAGAGGCCAATGCTTTTGGTAGAATGCCTCTGGTACCTAAAAAAAATAAAATGCTGGATTATCGGTAGAATTTGAAGTAAAAACTTACTTTTCTTTGTATCCAACAATGGCAACAAAACCACGAAGTTTGATTCTCATCTGAACTCCAGTAGTGTCGGTGCGAGTACGTTGCATGTTTTAGATGTCGCGCTTCACCAACAATTGTTTGTATACATCGTGTGCCGATTTTTTGTAGTTGATTCGGCTGTTGGGGCGAAGCCAATTTCTTGAAATAGATTGTAACGTTTGACAGGTTCTTCAGTCGTTCAATGAAACGGGGTATTAATCCTGTCCACTGGAGCGATGATATACACAAATTTTCTACACGAGGAAAAGTCCGGCATAATCGCTCGGCAGCATAATAATCATTATGATTATTATTGAGCAGTGAATCATTAATTTCAAGATTTTCAATACATTCCAAACGTATATTATGAGTTTTTTGAAGAAAATATGAAACTTGAGTGTTAATTGATAGCTTCTTTAGACGGGGCATAAGCTGCAACATCCATTGAATTTTCGAAAGTTCAATCAAAGTAGATACCGCCAAGCATTCTATCGAGCTCATATCGATGAATACTGATAACATTTCCAGTGATTCAGAACTTGCAATTTCCAACTTCTTTATATGACGAAAGTAATATCTGGTTTGCTTCGGTGATTCATTGAGAATAAAATGATTAATATGATCACAGAAAAGTGCTTCGTCAGTTACTGATGAATATAGAGGCGGTCGAAAATATGTATTAGCGCAAACATCAGAAAAATATGGCACCGAATACAAACTATCCCATGTACAAGCTACAAACCATCGTTTTTCTTCAAGCCAAAATGGTGTACGAAACGACTCGACAATATCTTCGATCCAATCCATACATACAGAAATTTTGAAGTTGAATGTTAGCAGTGAACGAGTCATTTTTTCCCATGATTGTCCGTCAGTCATATCCAGAAGTCCTTTTGTAACCAGTTCAAGATGTTGGAGGTCGGGCAAATTCAACATAAGCTGATTCATTTCTCTTATTGATACTGATTCGCCTAAACAATTTACAATTTTAAGAAACTCTTACAAGCATGTAAACAATATTACTCTACAGCTGGACATCAATTACGAATGATCAACTAACGTTACGAGTAATATCGTGAGAACGATTGATTACATTCACTTTCTGCTATCACCATTTTGCTCAATTAATTCGATAATTGATATGACTGATTTTGTTGCATACTCGAGAAAGATATTTACAAAATTTTAATCTTAATAGCTTAATGACTTTCTTTCGAGAACGGAGAGGTGTCACATATCCGAAATATCGGGGATGCTAGATATGCCAACGGAGACACCGACATACAAAGCCATTAATAACACAATACCAATACTATGGCTACATAGAATTATTTAAGTGTATTCTACGTCTCTGCATGAGACGCCGCACCTCTCGCACTTCTCCACAGAGAGATGCCACGTATCTGGCATCTGTATCTTCCGATGAAAAAAATGCTTCGATTTTCAAGCCCTAGACCCCATCGCATATACGTCGAACTTGAAACTTGAATTCAACTTCAACGTTCAACGTTCAACCTTAGAACTTGGAACTTGGAACTTGAATTTTCAATTTTCACGTTTCACCTTATTGCTGTGACACTACCGAATCTTTGGTACATGTGTGTGTGTATACGAACGTATCCCCCCTTCCCCGGCACCCGCATTATGGGTACATGTGTGTGTGTGTGTAGACGAACATATGCCCCTTCCCCGGCGCCCACACCCTTGAAACTTGAAAGTTGAAGTTTCAGTTGAATTCAAGTTTCAAGTTCGAGGTCTATGCGATGGGGTCTAGGGCTTGAAAATCGAAAAATATTTTTTCATCGTGAGATGCAGATGCCAGATATGCGGTATCTTTCTGTGGAGAAGTGCGAGAGGTGTGAGAGATGCGGCGTCTCTGCGTGAGACGTGTCAGCTGTGTTGCAGATACAGAATGCGCGTGATTGATTTCTTATAGCGATGATATTTTATTTGCTGGGAGTATCACTGTTGTGTATCCCACACCTCTCGTGGCATCTCTAGCATGCCCGATTTGTAGGATATGTGACACTGCTGCGAGAACGTAACCTTATGAATAATTTAAGAATATAGAAACTTTCGACAAAAGATATCTGAATCTATCCCTGGTGTTATTTATGGACGAATGTGAAGAGTAACTAAACGTTTTGCGTTAAGAATCCCACAACTATCGAATTATCTTCAGACATAACAGTATTTATCAAAATGACAGAATTTAACGCAAGCTGAACTCATACCTTTTAAATGGAGAACTAGTCGCTTGATATATAATAATGGTAAAGTTATTTCTTCGGGATTATTCCAACTTGCATGTTTAACTACTAGACATTGAAGCTGGACTGTGGATGAACATATTGCATTCAGCTCTACCATTGAACAGTTAGATACGATCAAAGAGCGTAAATACGGCAAAGAATGTCCTATCAAACGAGAGGCGTTATTAATTATTAGTCGAGTAGCATGTAACAAGAGTTGAGTGTGTTGTACTGAATCGACTTGATTTGATTCTATAGATAATGTAATGTGTCTACCAAGTCTGGTAATATACGGAAGTATGTGCGACCATGATGAAGGTTGAAGATTGATTAGCCTCATAGATCGTAGTCGTGGGAAGTCTTCGATTCTGAACTGAGAGAAAAATGAAATTGATTGATTTGGTGTATCGTTATCATCCGAAATGGTCAAGGAAGTAACTTGATCAGGTTTGATACGACTACATACGAGGTCGAATTGGTGTCTTGTGATTGACTTGAAATCAAACCCATAAAACACATAGTTATCTAATTTACTATCGATATAAGGACTCAAATTGGAAAACGTTTTGAGAATTTCATGAGCAGGGAAATAACTTAGAATCATATATATAATATCTACTGGTAAATGATCCAACTGGATATTCGACATTATCAGATAACTGTGAGAAGCAGCTGATTGTATTGAAATGAGTTAAAGAACTACTTAACCAAGGTCTAGAATCAAAATAAGAAATACCGTTTTAAGAAAAAAAAGTTTGCCCATCTATCTAAACTGTTACAAACATTCAACTCACACTTCCTTTTTATAATCACGTCGACAAAAAGAATCCAACGTTTTTCTTTTTTGCCCACGAGCTGCTACACGACAATAAATACCAACACACTGTTTACAGCTGACTAATATACTTCTTCCGTTCTCTAACTTACCTATGAAAGAAAATTATTTTTCATGCTCGACTTATTTTAACTTGATAAATCCCAAGTCGCCTCGTACATGCCCAGTACGCGCACGTAACGCTTGTGCGCATCGGTTCGCGTTCTGTAATAATGACTTTCAGGATAGAGGCCGTAGAATATAATGATGGCAGAGACAAGATCATTATTTAATTGTAATACCATAATAGACATCTAATCAGCAAACAAATAATTCGAAGATGTTTATAGAATTTCTTGATTTCGGCATTAGTGTTTATTTTATTATTAAAATAATCTTTTTTCTTCGAAGCACCGTTTTTTCTAAATTTTACAATAAGTTTTGATAAATTGCAAATTTTAATTTTTTTTAGCACTTAAAATTATAAAAAAGTCTCAAACTGCAATTATTTTCAAAATCTTGAATAATTCTTCCTAATTTAAAAATATTTTTCAAATTCAAAAATAAAATGTTAAAAAGTATAGAACGTTTTCAAGAAAATATCTTAATTTTATACAAAACGTAGGCATTGCATTCATATTCTCGACTTTCTTGAAATAGTCAACAAATTAGTGCTTTATTTTTTTTAGATTACTGATTTTAAACAAATTGCTGACTATCTATTATTTTTCATTTCAACAACAAATTATTTCTATGGAAAATATTACTCCTCGTGTTCCTAATTGTTCTTCTGTGAACGTTCGCATGCTTGATCATAACAGTATGTGTCCATTTAGATCGTAGGTCTTCTCTATTTTTATTTCGTAGAAAAACAACAACAAAGATCACGTAGTATCAAGTATCGTGAATCTCTACGTGCTAAATGTGCGCATATCATAAAAAAAATTTAGCAGCTATTCCAGGTGGATGCATCAACAATCAACGTAAGTTTATATTTTATTAAATTGATAAAAAGTTTAAAAAAAATATATTGGAGTGACTTACAATCGGAATTATATGGAACATTTTGATGATATTGTCACGAATGATGAAATAATAAATGTACCCTATGATCATGCTTATGATTTAGATCTTTCATATACAAATAATGGTATGTTCGATATTATATTTATTAATTTGATGAAACTTTTATTTTATGTTTTAGACTCTTCTGACGGAGGACGTGACGATGATATTGAACTTGATTCTCATGAAGATATTGAACCTGTTAAAGATTTTTTTATCGCTGAATCACCATCTCTGGAAAATAATATTGATAGTGAAGATGATGATACACCAAATAAAAAATATTTACAGATAATAGAATTTATACGTGATGCTAATTTAGATAAAACTAGTACTGATCGATTAATGCGTTTATTAAATAATGTTAATGAGTATGCTGGATGACCTCGAACTGGTCGTGAACTATGGCACGAATTAGGTATCGAATTTAACTACCGGACATTCATTTCTTGCACAAAATGTAACAAAGACCTGTTGAAATTCGGTGATAAATGTAATTGTATTGAAACAAATCACCTTATGAATACAGAGTTTGTATTATTTTCTATTGCCGACGAGATTCGCCGTGTTGTTAAAAACAACATAGATTTAATCGAATTTTTTCGAATTCATAAAGCTGAATTTCCATATGATATTGTTAATGGTAAGTCATATATTTACATTATTAATACTATGTACAAATGCAATAAATTCTGAAATAGGAGATCTTTATGTCAATCGTGTTAAAAATAATTCAATAACCTTAATATTAGGTAGTGATGGAAAGCCTACATTCAAATCTTCTAAAACTTCAGTTTGGCCGGTATGTAATTTCTAATTAATATTCAGCGAAAGTAAAGAACTATCCAAAGATATATCTTGAAATATGGGCTTTTTGAAATCTAAACTTTTCATTGATGATTGGAAGCATACATTTTCTTGCATTTTTTGTTGATTTACGTTTGTTTCATACTTTAAAAGACTTCATTTGAAAACATTCCGATCTTACTAATGATTTTTGTTTTGTTGGAGAAATTGGGGGTTGTTCGCAATGCTTTTCTCTATGAAAGTTGATATGTAAAGAGTATTTTCTGCTGTTACTTTGACCAAGGTGGTCACAGTGGCAATTTCACATTCGGATTCCTTTTGTTTAATTACACATATTTCAGTCATATAAATTAGGCTTATTCATTTTTATTATGGACTATTTAAACTTTAAAACTTGGATACGAATATGAAAAATTGTCAGTTCAGTATTTTGAAAAGTACAAATGAAGTCATGTTTGAATCATCAGTATCAGCAGATAATTATTCGCGTATGATAAAGGGATTCACATTGACTTTATTATAGGTTTTATGTACAATTGCGGAAATTCCTCCGCCGATCCGTGATTACCAACAGAACGTTATGTTATTTGGTCTTTATCATTCTCCAGTTGGACCAACTGCAGAAAGTCTACTAGGAAAAATTGTGAAAGCTGTCGAACGGCTTCGTCGTACTGGTCTTACTATTGATCTTGGTGCCAGAGATAAGTACCATTTCTTTTTAGTACATGTTTGTTAGGGTTGAATGTATGTGCTGGTGTTAAGCACGATGTTTATTTAAGAATAATCCAAAAGATAAACAAACATATATATATAGCGAAAGAGAAGAAAGAAAATACATGATAACGAATAAAGATCATAAGATAGATGTAGAGATCAAAGAAGTGGAGGAATAACACATAATATGTATATGTACGGGTGCGACATCACCCTAACATTTTCCCCATTGAACAAGAAAATGTGTCCTATCACATTTTAAAGTACACACTTAACAGTAACAAACAAAAAATGCATGGAATAGAAATGAAAATGAGAAATAGAAAAATATCAAAAACAATAACATGAAATCACAGGTTAAACTAATATAAGCTGAACGACGACTAGAATGTTAGATGGACATAATAACAATGATAACGATAATTTAATATCTGAACCAAAATGAGAAAAAAGAAAAAAACAATTTTTTGTAATGTTTCATGAGCATATGAAATAACAAAAAATATAGATGAATATCATGTGAACGTTTATCGATCATCTTTTATTAGAGGATCTATATGTTCGTCGATCATTAATGAAGCGATTGTAATGCGAAGTTGTAAATAAATGGTCGATTCGATGTTGATAATCATTCATTTGTGATGAATTCCGCATGCCAATATGTACTGATCGTTTTCGAGTAGTTGATGAAGTAGAAAAATTTACCGCCGAATATGGAACACCGTAAGATTTAATAATTTCTTTAATATTTTTGATTGTAAATCGACGATCAATATTAGAAATAATAATTTCAGTTTTGTAATAGCGTTTACGTTGCTTCAAAGTACTCGCACGATTGTGGATACGTCGACGCTCTGCTTTGCTTAATGTTTGTTGTCGTTTTGGTGTTGAATCGGCTTGAATATCATCTGGGGATATTGGTTCGAAATTGTCTGTTGCTGGTAAATCATGTTGATCATCATTGCTTGTCATATCTGTTAAATCATTTAATGTAGCTGTAATAATTTCATTCGATGGATTGATATTTGATTCTTGATGTTCGATAAGTTTTAATTTAAGCATAATTTGTTGCATCGATAGACAATCATATACAGCATAACGAATTAATGATTGACGATGTGCAATTTCAGCTGAATTAAAATGATACAATGTGGGGTCGAGACCAATATCAAAATTTGATGTTGTTTGACGTTTATCCAACCATCGAGATAATTCAAACGCCACTGCATTTTGCAGTGACCAGGTTTTTTCTTCTTTTGGAATCCTAAACATTCTTCACATATACATTCGGAATAATTTGTAGATGCTGATGTTGTTGGTTGATGTGGATGTTGTGTATTCCAATGAGTTTTAAATGCATCCTGAAGATTAATAGGATTACACAAATCTAATTGATCATACGTAAATAAATTATATGAACAAAAATTATGTAATTCGCTGATATCTCCCCAAATAAAGATATTATTATCAGCATTGAATAATGTTTGAAAAATTTTTTTAACTAATGTAAATGTATGTTCATATGCACGAGGCAAGTGACACATTTCGATAAGTACAACGTATGAGAATGATTCTGATAGAATAATTTGGACTTGAATTAATGCTGGTGCATTTGGTTGATATGGAATAATTATTGATTCTGTATCGAGTGTAAAGACTGTAGTTGATTTAATTTGATCGATGAGATGAATTAATGTTGAGTCAGTTGTTCGAAAATTAATAAAAAATTGTTCGAATTTTAATGGTTCAAAAGGTGGATATTTTGTAGCTAATTCATGTTCATGGAGTTTTTTCTTAAACGTAGTTCGAAGATGTTGTCGTTTTTTTCCGGTAATTGTTGATGGAATGTTGTTAATTTTCCATAATAGATCTTCATATTCACGCTGAGATAACATCACTATAATAAAAATAAATAAAGATAATAAATGTCGATTCTCTAATTAGTGAATCTAATATTATATTGGTCGATTCTCACAAAGAAAAAAAGGAATCTATCTAGTGTTTATCAGATGGGATCTGTATATTAGTTTCAAATAGTTGGGAGGAAAAAGTTTGTAATAATAACAATAATAATAATGTTTATTAGTTTGTATTTTATATCTCAATGAAATAACTAATTAAGTTATATATCTTTCGCGATTCTCAGTGCTCGAGATGAGTATCTATGAAAAATAATTGAATAATATTTCATTTAAATTAAAAAAATTTTTTTTTCATAGAATAATTAATTATTTAAATGAATGTGTTCAAATCATTATAACAGCCCTTCATAACCAGTGAGTGAGGGAAACTCACGCTCCCCAATTATGCTATGCTAAATTATAATAAATCAGATTGTTCAATCAATAATCAATTAATCCATTAATTTGAGATATAAATCATAATACGGAGCTCTTTATGAGAGGTCCTAATCTAATAAATTCGTTCGAATATTGGTAGTAACACGTCTGTCGTAACTTGACGATGTAATGTTGATTTCTTGACGTGTTGGATAATAAATGTTTTTTGTGTGAGTTGTTTGATAATTCTGAATGGTCCTTCATAACGAATATCAAATTTGTGACGAATATTAAGTGTTTTAACAAGAACTAAATCACCAATGTTGTACGATGGATCAGCACGATTTATATCATAGCGTTGTTTGTATCGTTCTTGGTTTCTAATAATATTAATTTTGGCTTGTTCATTTAATTTCGATAAGAATTGATGGAGTTTATTAATGTGTGTTGAATCATATGATAATGTAACGTTGTCATCTTGATGATCAAATGGTAATATTGGTAATCGTCCGTACATCATTTCGAATGGTAGCTGCCTTGTAGTTGAGTGGATCGATGCATTATAATTATATGTAACGAATGGCAGTTGATCATCCCAATCTATCTTCCGTAGGTTTGATAAAGCACCGATTTTGGCGTCCATCGTTGAGTTATATCGTTCGACTTGACCATTTGTTTGTGGATGATACGGTGTTGAATACAGGTGGGTGATACCAATTTGTTTACATAATTCGTCCATCATTGCCGAAGTAAAATGAGTTCCATTGTCGGTCAGGATACAACGAGGCGTACCAAATTTTGAGATGACATCTTCTTTAAGGAATCGAACAGCTGTGTGAGTGGTATTGTCTCGTACAGCTTTGGTGATAACGAATTTTGATAATACATCGGTAAGGCAAATAATATATTTATTTCCACGTTGCGATGCTGGTGTAATAGGTCCATGGAAATCTATCGAAACTAATTGCCATACTCCTTCTGGAGGATTTATCGGTTTTAAAATTCCAGGAGTCTTTTGTCGACGAGGATTAAATTGTGCACATGGTATGCATGATTTAATGTGATTAGTAATATCCTTGTACAGTGATGGCCAAAAATAACGTTGCTGAATTTTATGTATTGTTTTGTTTCTGCCAAAATGTGCACCATTGGCTGCAGTATCATGATATATGTGTAAAATTGTTCGTCGTAAATCACCTTGTGGTACATATGGAACTGGATGCTTTGGATTATGCATTAAAAGATCATTTTTTATTAGATAATTTTTTCGTTTCTTTATACTGTTTAAAATTTTATTTGCATAATTATCCTGTTGTTGAGCTTCTTTTAATTGTTCATTTGTAAATGGAATAATTCGATTCTCTTTAAGTGAAGTATCTAGAGAATCAGATTTTAATTGTTCCGTGTTATTTGTATTAGGTAATTTTGCGTTCCGTAATTTCATAGCACGAGTTTCAACAGCTGTAACAACATGTAAATGATTGGGAATATTATCGAAATCTGTTTGTGTCGCTTTTGAAATAAGAATTGAAATTTCATCAGGGTCTTCTTCAGCATCATCGACTGGAGAACGTGATAAATAATCAGGCATCGAATTGGTTAAACCAGGAATATATTTGGCCTTAAAATCATATTCTAAAATTTTTAATCTCCAGCGTTCACATCGTTTATTAATTTGAGCTTTTTGATTTAATTGTGTTAATGCTTTATGATCAGTTTCCCATGTAAATTTAATTCCACTTAAATAATTATGCCATTTGTCTAATGCACAGATAAATGCATAACATTCTTGTTCCATAGGAGACCATTTCCGTTGTGCTTGAGTAAATTTCTTCGATAAATAAGCAATTGGTCTATCGCCATCAGGGTAAATTTGTAATAGAACAGCACCGATTCCCTCATGCAAAGCATCTGTTTGAACTTTGAAAGGGAATCTAATGTTTGGTAATCGTAATACTAAATCAGTTGTTAGATGATGTTTGAGTTGGTCGAATGCGTTAATTTCATCCTGTGTTAATGTAATCATTGTTTTTTGTCCTTTCTTTTGTTGAGTTCTTGTAGTTGGGATGAATTTTCGAAGTGGCTCAGCGATTTGAGAGAAATTCGGTATAAATTTTCTATAATATTCAGCTGCTTTCACAAATTTGCATGCTTCATCTGGAGTTTGTGGTACTTTTGTATTTAATAGACCACTAATATTGTACGAACTTGGACGAATTTCGCCATTGCTAATTTGATGTCCAAGATAATCTGTTTGTGTTCGAGCAATTTCACATTTTTCTGGATTAAGACGAAATCGAGCATTTTTTAATATTCCACAAATTTCATTAAGATGTGCTAAATGTTCTTCAAATGTTTTCGAATAAATAATAACATCATCGATATATGCTAATGCGTATTTCCACCCTGCGGGTCCTAATATATGATTAATCAAGCGTTGAAATGTGGCGGGTCCATTGGTGATTCCTTGTGGAAGAACTGTAAATTGATAATGATTGTCGCGAGTAGAAAATGCAGTTTTTGCACGGTCCTCTTTTGATAGAGGTACCTGGAAATAACCAGATTTGAAATCGAATTTTGTATAATATACGGCATCAGATAATTGATCAAATATTTCTTCGATACGAGGTAATGGAAATGCATTTTTAATGGTAATAGCATTTAAACGTCGGTAATCAATACAAAATCTCATTGTTTTGTCTTTATTCTTCACTAAAACGATAGGTGATGACCATGGAGATGTTGATTCTTCGATTTGACCACGTTCTAATAATTTTTGTGTTTCTTGAACTTTGATTTCCTGGTCTTCATATGAAGAAGAATATTGTTTCGAATAAATAGGTGGATGATCACCAGTTTTAATTGCTGTTTGAGGTGGAATATTAATAATTGATGGTGTAGGATCAAATAGAATTTTATTTCGCCATAGTATGTCTTGAATTGCTAATCGGTGCTTTTCGTTGTCAATGTGGTTTGTCGATTCGACTATGTGCTTTCGAATCTGATCCGAATAACATGCTGTTCGTAAATGTTTTTGTAAGTCATTACCAGATAAAAAATATTCATTGCATCTATCACATATATTTTTTCTATTCGACTGAATCAGATCATCTTTTTTATTTGAGATGATTCTATTATTATTTTTATTGTGAACTTGATTGAATCGTTGTTGAGTGTTGGTGGTCATAGTATGTTGTATGGTTGTATATATCGAATAAGTTGAATGACGAGAGAGTGTTCCGATTAGTGTATTCTTTGATAGCGTTTGCGGTCGATCGTTTGCACTAATCATTAATACTTTTGCTTCATGATTTCGAATGTTCAACAATGTATGTGGTATAAGGATACAGTTTGATAAATGGTTTGGTTGTGGCTCGAAAATTAAATCATTATCATTGTAAATTCGACAAGTGATATCAACTAATGTTTGTGAATACGGAGGAAGCGTAATTTGATTTACTAATAATGCCGGTTGATTAATAAATGGTGGTTCCACGTATGAAATTGTAATGTGTTGTCCATATTGATCAGGAATAGTTAGCTGTTGTTGGTCGCCGAAAAGATGAATATGATTTGTGTTGATCCAATTGTTGCCTAAGAGAATCGATGTAATTAAATTTGTTGCAACATAAACATTGGCGTAAGTTGTTATGGGTTTAATTGTTATTTCCAGCATAATTTGTCCGATGATATTAAGTGGTGTTGAGTTTGCGGTTCAACATGACTGAGTTTGTCGCCGGAAATTTTCATGTTTGATAGTTTTAAGAAATTCGATATGAATGATTGAAATAGCGGATCCTGTATCAACGATTGCTTTAGTTGGTTGATTATTAATATGAATCTGGATATAAACGGGATGTGATGAGATTGCTGATGGCTTAATGATAGTACTGGGAACACCGCCATCGCGTGACCCAGTTATTGAAAATTTTGAAGCATTGGACATTGACGAAAATGGTGGCTTCCACCACATTTAAAACATCCTGTCGTGCATTTACTAAAACAATCAATTGTACGATGATTATTACGACCACATATTCGGCAGTTATTGAATCTGGAATTTGGTACTGATTGCTGAATAAAATATGCTGTCTTAAAATATGAGTTGTATTCATGTGGTTGTGAAGCTTTATTTGTTGATATTCTTGATTGGTATTGATGTTGAGGAAACGAGTTCCATTTCTTCATGGAGCTCTCTGTTGAATTATCATGGTACTGTGTGTAGTACTGTTGATTTGTTGGTTGTTTTATTGTAGTTGCAACTGACGGATTCGGAGAATGATAATTTGTAAATTGAGATTGTTTTGACTCAATGGCTGTAACGATTCTTGAGTTTATTATCCAAAAGAATGGTCACTCTCTTCTCTCACGTCCATTCTTTATATATCGATCGTGGAACGAGAGAAGGAGAGAGAATATCTTATACAGAGAAAGGAAAAAGAACAATCATTTAGTATGAACAAGAACGGTCGAGACATAAGATAAACTCATTAGTGATATATGCTTGTATAGTGCATACGATTACATTGAGTATGATGAGTGATAGACGCACGATACGGTAATTAACACTAGGTGAATATATAAGAAGAGAGAGTAACATGTTAGCTAACAACAAATGATATGATAAGTAAGAACAGCAAACAGAAACAATCATTCCACACAACGGTGACAGTAGATAGTGATGCATACACGTTCAACCAGGGTTGTCACAATGGCTAATTGACGAGTTTTCTCGAATGTATCATATAGATCTTGTTGAATTTTGGTATATTTTAAAAATTCATCTAATGAATTCATGCATGACTGATGTCGAGAAAGTTCTTTTCTAAATTCTGGATTGATTCCACTCATAAGGTATTGGATAATGATTGAGTCGGACATCGTTGGATCAATATCTCGACATAGATTGATTATATCATCAGTATAAGATGTAGCTGGTTCGTCTGATAAGTGTGTTCGTTGTTTTAATTTAGCGAATTTTTTGTGAATAATTGTGGTCGAAAAATATCGATTTCGAAATGCAGTTTCGAAATCTGACCATTTCTTGAAAATATGTTCATGATTATCGAACCATAATCCTGCTGCTTGTATGAATTTACCACGGACGATTTCAAGAACTTCGTGATTATTTGATTCTTCATTGACTTTTGCAATATTTTTTATACTTTTTAAAAACCGTTTGACATCCTCTAAAGGATGTCCTGAGAAATTAGGTAAATCATCGAAGCGAGCCTTTCAAGCTTTTGCTAATAATGTTTGATCAGTCATCATAACGTATACTTGTGTTCAGTGAGATTGTGATAATATATGTGACGATGGGTTTGTAATGATAGTATATGGTAATAATTTTTTATTATGTTTTTTACCTTGAAATCTTGTACCGGTGGCCGCGATTGAAATGTGAGAGATTAATAACGATAATTGCTTATGGTTGTAATACAGAATCGTCCCTTTTTTGTATGTATGTATATATGTATGTATGTATGTATGTATATGTATGTATTTATATATGTAATATTTTTATGTATATCGAAATTCCCCTAAGAATCTCTACTATATTACTATGTTATCAGTTCCTGTTTTATATTCAATTGTTCTGATTCGATTTTCCTTGATTCTAAGATTTATTATCCGAAAAAAAATCCAATTATAATACGTGGTGTGAAAATCTCGAGAAACGGTATACTCAGAAGTATTCCTTACGTATATTAATCATCTATCAGTTAGAGAAATATTGTTCACCTGATAATAAATATAATTCTTGTGTATGGAATCAGCAATATAAATTTGGATCGTGGATTCCGAGTCTTTTTTTTTAAGGCTTTGTCCCGGTCTATTCCAGTCTCTTTTGAGCAGAGGCTCTAGTTAATCTAAATTCTAATATTATTAATTAATTTTTCTTTTTTCTTTTTCGTCGATGTTGTTTTGCAGAGTCGCCAAATGTTATGGTTAAATGTGTGCTGGTGTTAAGCACGATGTTTATTTCAATAATTCCAATCCAAGAAAAAACAAACATATATATATAGAGAGAGAGAGAGAGAAGAACCAAAATATATGATAACGAATAGAGATCACAAGATAGATGTAAAGAGATCAAAGAAGTGGATGAATAACACATACTATGTATATGTACGGGTGCGACATCACCCTAACAAACACATAAAATATAAATTAATGAACACATCTAAGTAGACTAATTAAATAAGTTTATTTTCTATAGAACGAAGAAAAATAATATCATTTACTGTATATGGATCTATATTTACAGTTGACCATAGCCATACTTAATAAATAAAGAGATTGATATTAAGACCCTAATCGCACTGGAAATGTGAATAAAGTTAAAGTGGTATTAAGTAATAAAATTGATACATTAAGAGTTAAAAGAGTTAAAATCACCTCTAAAATATTACCTAACTCTTAATGCACCAATCACATGGCTTAATTCAACTATAATGTTAATTATACATACAGTGCCAAATCTCAAATTAGTGCTAATTTTAAAATCTGCGTGCCAAAATTTTAAAAATTTTCGCAATCAAACATGTACATAGGAACTAGAATTAACTTATCCATAATTTTGTACAATTGAATTCAATTATATGAAAGATGGACAGCCATTCAGGGAAACCCTACTGTTTGTGCGTAGACTACCCAGTAGATCAGATATCAGATATTTACCTACCATTTCTATTAGAACTAATCAGTAGATCAGATATCAGATATTTACCTACCAGTTCCATCAGAACTAACCAGTAGATCAGACATATAGCATTGCTTCCAATTTATTCAATAGGATCGGAGACAACAAAACAATCGTTAACAAAATACTTACGGAAGTGTGTTAAACAGAACTTTATTGCGAAATAAAAAAGACTGCAGACCGACATCGAATAGATAAGATAAGATAAGATAAAATATATTAATAGAAAGTTTAAAACCAGAAATATATGTTTGACCGAGTTATACAGCTTGTTCAAACGAGCTAATACCAGTGGTTGTACAATTTTTAAAATGAAATAGAACTGTAAAAAATATCGTCGATTTTGGATAGCTGTATCCTCTAAATGAATTTTTAAATTTTGATAGATAAGAAAAACCCTGTTCAGCAACTTGTGTATTAATAGATGCATAAATATCGTTATGACATGGATGATCAGGTCGCATCACTGTTTTACACATAGGCCTCTTGTGATTTTTTACATGGAATCGGTCAATAGCCATTGCCAGTGATGTAAGAAATTGTGTCGAATCTGTTGACTTTAACTCATTTGAACCGAAATGCCGATTGATAAATAATTTCAATGTGCACGCACAATCATAACACATTGCATTAGGTAATTGGCCGAATCGCAATATAGTTAATATATGATGAAGCACTCGTCGCACTATTGTTGTTGAGGAAAATAAAGGAGAAATACTTTATATATTAATAAGATTAGGAATAAAATTTTCACACGCACTTCCTTCTGAGCATGGTTGTTCTGTAAATCCAACTATAACTGAACAGCTCAAAAATGTCGCTAAAAATCCGTATGAACTAATTTTTAGTTTACTGTTTATTCCAGATCTAAAGACATTGCATAAAGCATCATCATAGTGACCATCCTTATCTACATATTCCATTAGTGCTAATTTATCTAAAGTTGTTTCTTTATTTTCGAGAACTATCTGATGAATTGGTATTGATTCATCGTTCACAGATGTTACAATTTTTGGCTGATGTAATTGGCAGTATCTATGATCGACATTACGCGCTAAAAAGCAGAAAATAAGAGTGAAAATAAAAACTATTCACGCAAAAGTGTTTACCTTTTCTCAATGGAGAATGTAAACATCCCATCTGAACGGGCCCTAGTTCATATATGGAATTGTCAAAAACATCTTTGTATTGACATACAAGTCTATTAGCTTTTTGATGTCCATCGACAATGAAGACTTTTGAGCATGTAGTTGGATTACATCTTTTAGTAAATCGTTGATGTTGTGTCCAAAACCCAACAAAATTTTTGTACAATTCGAGTTGAATCTTTGAAAAATAATCATTGCACTCATCAACATCACGTACTGACATCGGTATATTAGAAACTTTTTGATTCGTTGTCATAAAAAGAAATTTAACTACATTTATTAAAAGCCAAGTCATTTGAAAGTATCTTTCATCCAACAATGTTCTAAGAAAATATTGACGAGAAAGATTTTTAAAAAATATTAGAAAAAGGAGCATTATCGTACATGCTATCTGTAGCAGTTGTCGATTTTTGGTTTTGTCTTTTTTCGATCAATTGAATTTTCGAGTTATATGCACTTGTGTATCCTTCAAATGATACATTATTTTGTATTAGTTGTTGCTCAAAATCAATCAGCAAATTTTGATCGAATACTTGATTTCCATTTAAATAAATAAATTGATCGTTTTTTATTGATTCTACTGTGATGAATTTCTTTTTTTGTTTTATATAAAAATTTGGAAATATTTGAACATCACAATCCTCACAGGTACAGGTGCAAATGACTAGTTATGAAAATATAGATGTGACGATTACTATCAAAAACTATGATTTTATTATCCATGTAGCCGATAATGTAAAAATAATAGACATTAATTTGATTATTTTCATAAATAACGTTACATAATGTAATTATAATGCAACCTATTTCATGCATTATAATGCATTATCTTCAAAATAATGGTAACCTTTTCCAATAATCCATTGTTTTTTAATGAATTATTTGAAATTTTACCATTGTTTCCCTGTAATGCATTATAATGCATTAAAATTTTAAAATATAATGGAATCTAACTAATTAAAAATTTTCACGCTTTCAATACATTTTATTCCGTTGTACTTTAAAATTTTAATGCATTATAATGCATTACAGGGAAATAATGGTAAAATTTCAAATAATTCATTAAAAAACAATGGATTATTGGAAACGTTTACTATTATTTTGAAGATAATGCATTATAATGCATGAAATAGGTTGCATTATAATTACATTATGTAACATTATTTATGGAAATTATTTATGGAAATTATTTATGGAAATAATGTCTATTATTTTACATTATCGGCTACATGGGTACTTACGAGCCTTAAAACTTTTTGTTAAAGATAAGACAGTTTTTGAGCGATGAGAAAAGACCGACTTCAATTGCTTTTCACACTGAATACACTTAGTTGTATACGGCCACAAATACAGTTCATATACACCATCAGACTCAGCAATTCTATTTTTCTGATATTTATGAACCATTTCGTCTAGATCATGTTGCTGGAACATTTGACTGAATCTTGTTTGTATAGAGATAAATTCGATTATTGTTCTTACTTTATGAACTTCATATGACTTTTTAAAATGTAAATTAATGATATTAGCAATATGGTCATATTTTCTCGGTAATTCTATTGGTAAAAAGTTGTTTAGCATCATTACATATATTATTTCGTCTAAAGGCATTGTTCGCAGCATTAGAATTAACGTATGCTCTTCATCTGTAATATGGACCGGTGTTCGTGGTGATGTGAGTTGATTGGAATGATCCATTTGATAAGAGTATCTTAAAATGTTTAAAGAAGTCAAATGCTTTTAAAATATCTCTTTTAATTATTAATTGGCTGATTGAGCGGTTTTTTTTCCTTTTATTTAATCAATAACGAAGATTTAAAAATCAGTATGTTAAAAAAAGTTTAAAAAAGTTTGGAAATGACAAATACGCATAAAATGAATAAAAGTTAATATTAGAATCGCAAAATTTTAAACATATATATTCAAAATGACTTAGTTTTTTTTCATTCTCCTTGGTTGTGTTCGCATTTGACGCTCATGGACATTGACATTAATTTCAGCTTTTCGTTTTGAACATGTTGATCTTGGTAAAACATGAGCTAGTATACCTGCGTCATTATTATTCATAATTATTTGCTGTTCGAGTGTTTCTTGAGTTGCTGAATTATTCATGTGTGGTTCCTCTATATTTATTGAATCTTCAGCATCTACTACACTCCTTGTAATATCAGAAGGCCGAAAACGTTGAATATTCCATCTAACATGATTTAAATAAAAAGTGTTTGAATTGATTATTTCGATTAGCTCATCTGATAAAGTCCAATTGTTATGCGAAAAGACATTTTCGTCCTGGTTAGGATAAAATGTTTTTAGATAGTCTTCATAAGTTATATTCACCTGAAAACAAAATGCTAGATTATATTGATTCGCCAAACATATTTTCAAGTAAAAAGAAAGATTATTTACATTTTCTTGTAGCATTTGAATGAATCGAAATTTTGATGCATTAGATTCAGATTCTGGTACTTTTCTACAAAAACAATTATGAATAATAAATAGAAAAGATTTTCCGGCTAAAGGTCATTACTTTAACCATCCTTCTCTTAATATTCGTTTAGCAGGTTTCTTTAGTTCTTTTTTAGTACGACTCGGTTCAATCCAAAAATCATTTCCATGTTCAAGTAGATTAGCTGCAACTAAACGTTTTACAGCCTCAAGCCTAATAGCTGATTTGTTGCAAATTTGAGTTAAATCAGTTTTTGTGTAAATTACAGATCTACCACCCATTATACTTTGCATAGCCTTTTTGACCATTTGCTCTGGTCCTTTACCATATACACTTGCTGCTAGAAAAAAATAAACAGCCAAAGAATTAGTAGACAAAATAAGAGATTAGCATGTACCTTCCTGTATAGTCTTTTGTGTTGATATAGCACAAGTTTCATCTTCAATAGTACCACTCAAAAGCGATTCACGAACATTTATTTGTTTTTCTACGGTAGCTATTGATGAATCATCAAAATCACTTGATAGTTCATTTTCGTTAGACACAAATGCTTCTAAGATGAAAGAGATGAGTTTCTAGGAAATTGATAAAATAAAGAATAACTATATTACCAGCTGTATCAATATCTGGTTGATCGATTAAAACATCTGGTAATTCCTGACTTTGTCTCTCACAATTCTTTGCAACTACACTATAAGATTTGTCGACTTCAATCGCTGTAGTCCTTTTTAGTTCTTTTGTAGATTTAGTTATTCGACTAGAAATAGGCTGATTTGTTATACTCAATAAAGCTCTATTGTTTATTTGTTCTTGTCGCTGCCCTAAAACCAGATTTTCAATGTCATGAAATTGAAGAGCAAATACATTCTGATCTTTGATAATGAAATGTCCATCTTCAGTTTCTTCAATATAACGGTTTTCAACATGTTTTTTAATTATAACGTTCAATTGGTTTTTGTATTTTGCGTATTGGTTTACAAAAGAACTAGTATATTCAAAAATCTCTAATGCTAATTTTGATAAATTGTTATTTAATGGAATCGCGGACTTCTCATAAATTGAATAGTACTCATCTATATTTATTTCATGTTTCAAAAGATTGGTAACGAATTGTTCGCGTGTTTCATCATTAATTGATGGTATTGGTATTTTCATATAAGACTTGATATTTCTGCCACGAATATCAGTTAAAAAATAATTAAATTTAAGCAAATTATCTTCTAATAATTCTTGAAGTGCTCGTTCGCCTAATGCTGGCCTATTTTTAATTATACCACTAGAAAAGAAATTACAGGCAAACATATTTATTAATTTAAATGAAAATTCACTGCACATACGTTTGACCTGTAACAGGATGTTTAACACTAATAGATGATACCGGGAAAATATTGAAATCCAACAGCATGATTAATTGTTTTAATGTTTTCTGTCTAGATAAAACTGATGAGGATATCGAAAGTGGCTTACCAGGAAACTCTGGATCGATTGTAAATAACTTAGCAGCAATATTTAGATGATGATCATACCATTTCCAGGCAGCAATCAAAGCTTCTTTTTCAACAATAATTATAGGATCCATCGATGACTGATTTATTTCAATACATGGCAAATAAGTTTTATTGTATGCGTAATAATCTTTTTGAATTATACTTTTTACGCTGTTTACAAAATTTTCATTTATACTCATATCATGATTATCACCTTCAGCAAAAACAACAGTGTTTTTAACTCTTTCAAGAATTTCAATAGCATTAAAATATAATTGCATTAGACAAGCTAAACGAGGAAATGTTGTTCCAGCTTTGGCATAAAAATCTACGATTTGTTGCTGTTGATCCTGCTTTTGATCCTGTGTTTCAACTAAATCCGCAATCAGATTCCAAAGTGTAAACATTGCAGAAGGATTTTGTTGTGTTTGTGTTTGTTCATCTTCATCAACTGGTGTTGATGGCTGATCGAATATAGCTGCAGAAAATGAAAGTGTACTAAAAGATTAGAAAACTTTCAATGATTTTTTAATCTATATTACCTCCGTTAAATTTTGTTCGCTCAGATTCTGACATTTGAAATACATACCGCACTGTTCCAAAAAGATGAATGATTACGCACAGATGAGTAATTGATGGATTCTTTTTTGAGTTTATATTAACTATAAAGCTAAAAATAACAGATAAGAAACAATGTATATTTTGATCATCTTATTATGTTTTTACTTTTGGGGTCTTGAGTATACGAGCTTCGGAATAGACATGTATAAAAATCGATTATGTGAGCCGTCAAATCCAGTAAAATTGATCCAGTTTTTCATGTTTTTCATTAACTTTCCACCTGTAGTAGCAATAGTGATTGTCAATCTCTTATCGCCAATGTGAATAATTGTCGTTCCAGTTGTTCGAGAAGTATTGGTAAATCTGAGAAATAAAGGAATAGCTGATTATTATGATGTGATTATATCTGTTTTTACCCGTCATAACCACATAGAATTACATTTCGTTCATGCTCTTTAGTAAAATCGTTGACATTGTATAAGCCATATGTTTCTGCAATAAGATCAGCATCGTCATTCAGCAATATCTTATTGTTAGATGCTAGATGCTGTCGTAAACCAATATGATTTGTATGAGTAATGACGGATGACAAATCTGATTCAGTTGGTTTTCCACTGACAATTACCGGCTTCATATACGTGGACGGAAACATTTTTTCTGTTTTTGTTATAGATTTCAATATTTGTTGGAAGGCGTGTGTTTTGCCGCATCCTTAGAAATCAAAAGATGGTATAATCACAAGAAAAAAGATACTCCAATGAGTAAATTAAAAAATACCAAACGATGAAAAAGCTTTGTGCAAAATTCTGAATCTCAGAAATCAGCAGTTTCATGTGACTCGCAAGGTTTTTTCATTTGAGAGAATATAAGGATACTAGCAAATCTAAACTATAGAAAAGTTTATCTAAGCTTGTTACATAGCTCGGCAATTATTATTAAACACATTCTATCATAACATTTAATATAACATGCTAAATGAAATTTTTGAAGCTATAGGCGAAATCAATCCCTTTGTAAGCATAAACCAAAGCAGATTCATCTGTACTTGATTCTAAAAAGCAATATCCTTAGATGTAAAAGAAAGAAATATAAATTATGATCTTTTGGCATCTTGCACGATTTAATAAGTACACAATAAATCATCACTTGTCTATATCATTAATCCTTTTAGCGTTTGCCATCAGTCTCCCGAGAGTTAGCCTAGTGTCAGTGTGAAATTGTACAGTATAAATCATATTTACATTATATAATTGTATGTATGTTCGCTCTAATGGTCTTCTTAAATCACTGTAGACTTTGTCCTCATGTAGTATTTTTTCTTTATGCAAGCAGCTAGTGAATGAATTTCAATAGTTCTTTTTACACTTCACTTTCAATCAAAGAATAGATAAGATATATTTTGAATATTCGTTGTTACGTAATAAAAATGAGCTTTGTGCAAAGATTTGTTTATTTCATGTGATTTAAACATACCACTAGAACCTAGCAGCCACAGATACAATTGCACCGGCCGATGATCTGAACTAGCATAATGAGTATAATATGAGCCTTGAGAAAAATGCGACATTATGGATAATGATAGAAAAAAAGATAAGTAAGGTTGATAATTGTAGATCTCCTTATATGTAGTTAATAATATCATTTGCTCTGCAGTAAGAATGTCCGACATTTCAATATTCATTTGAGATGATGCTGCTATATTTTTAAGAATCATTTCGGAAATTAATTTATCGTCCATGGTTGTCGAACGCCTGGACATATTGATTTTTGAAAATAAAATAATTAATGATATCAATAATCACAAAATAAAAAAAATGTTTTTGATAAATATGAAAAGTTAGTTTGACAAAATGAAAAAAAAAGAAAACGGTAACAGATCAATAATATGAAATAATTTTAATTTAATGTACTCCCTGTTCACTTCTTACTGAAGTAAAGATATATTCCATTAAGATAAAGAGTAGAGCAAAAGAAACTGATGATGCTTAGAATAAAAGAAAATTTAAAGCTTTACTATGTGAATAGATGAGGTCATTATATGTAAATGAAATCCTGTTTTATTAGAAACTTGAAACTTAATAATTAGTATCAAACAACCATTATCAGAAACAAAACATTTAAATATTAAAGGACGACGGAGACAATTTATCTCTGAGTAAAATCACGCTAAAGATCGATATAGTAAAACTAATACTGTGAAAGTCATTCCAACAATCTAAGATAATAGAAATACAAGTACAGAATAAAAGAAACTACATTAAAGCAAAGAATAGTTTCGGAAAGCAAAAACGAAGATTTTGTAGTAATATTATTTCTCGACGACAAGAAAGACACATAATTAAATAGATTCATGCGTTGCATCAAATCCTATTTATTACTGTTTACTTGAAGAATGCATCAGTTAAATAATTGTTATTTGTTTTGCTAATGAAGATCGATTTCAGAAAATTGTTTTTACTATTAGTATAGCGATGCTTTAATATACCAGCATAGACAAGGAACAAAAGTCCTTTATTGAACATTTCAAGAATGTTGCTAACAAAATGATATCATCTGACTAGAGAGAATCCAGGTAATAATATCCGATGTACGAATACAGGAGAAATGTTTATTGAAGGCCTGAAAAATATTAGTAGCAGTTCTCATGATAATATAACTTTTCGAACCATGCGGATTCTTTCTTCATCCATTATCTTCATTTATGAAAATTTGCTACTGATCATTCTACTCGATCCTACAGCTGTGGTTATAGTGATGCAGTAATACGTGAACAGTTTCTAACAGTGTGTAAGGAAGAACAGAGAAAAGAAAAAATATGACCTAAATGTACGTATATATAGCGAAATAGAATGTCCTCAACAAGATCATTTAACCGAAAAGAGAACGCAATGAATAAATCGAATGAATGGACACACTGAATGTACCGATATGAAGTTATTTATATCAACCAGGGTATAGCGATTATACGCGTCATCCAGGGACAAAAATAAACAATCAAATCATAGTGTGATACAGATTTTTATTGGTTTCTTTTTTTCATTTCTTTGCTTAAACATTGCCGAAATAAAGTAGCTATATCATTTATAACTGAAAGGCAATTATGTTTTCAATTTTTATGCAAGGGCAATCAAAGCTATTTCTTTAAAAACAACTTTAACTGAGTGCAGATGATAACGAACGCATATTTTTAAAATCTTCATGATTACAAAATGAAATTGATGAAATAAAACAAGTCTTTTGAATAAATTCTATTTAAAAAGATTAATAGTCCTTTGCATGTACACAAGCACATACTCACTTTATTTTCTTGTAATTCATTTTGAGAATATAAAAATCGGTCTAATCCATTGAGATATTATACTATCCAGTTTGCTCTTTAACTTTACCACACTGGAATATTCATCAAAAGTTACCTGTATCACACATACATCGATAAGATACTGTATCACTGCCATCTATTCCGAATAGATCACATGTATAAGGTTTGATTATATTGATATGTTGACTCATAGAAATTTTGAAATTATTAAAAAGTAAATATCTGATATCTTAGATTCTTGTGGCTATTCCGAATAGATCACATGTATAAGGTTTGATTATATTGATGTGTTGACTCATAGAAATTTTGAAATTATTAAAACGTAAATATCTGATATCTTAGATTCTTGTGGCTATTCCGAATAGATCACATGTATAAGGTTTGATTATATTGATGTGTTGACTCATAGAAATTTTGAAATTATTAAAAAGTAAATATCTGGTTTCTTCCTCAAAATCAGATATCAGTCGCCAGATATTTAGTGAAAACTGGTTATAATTTGAGATTTGGCACGACCTCTAATTATACTTCTCAGTGTGATTGAGGCCTAAATTGACTAACGAAAAAAGAAAGAAAGATGGAACGCTCGTTATAATTGTCAGTGAGCATTTCTTATGCCAATCAAAATGCACTTGACCGTGATAACGATATGAACAGAACAAGGATGACCATTAAATAAGCACGACTGACAGAAACAAAGAAAGCGAAACATTGGACGTCCTTTTTCATGCGTCATCTCTTATACTAGCCAACTGCCCTCGACCATAACACCAGAACAAAGAAAATGATTTTGAATAGCCGAATGAAACTGAAAAAAATGAATCGATTCGATTCGACCTCTTTTTCTAGAAGTATCATTCGATTCGATTCGGCTTTTTAGGAGTTCGATTCGGAGTCGATTCGATTCGTCCCAGTCGAATCGAATCGAATCGAATCGAATCGAATTATTCGGAAATTCGATTCGATTTCGGCCTCTGATATGTATTGAGTAATAACGAATCTAAATACTCACAGACTATATAGTATATAATAATTGAAAGAGATTTTTTTATTGGACTTACAACGATTTTTTTTAAATTTTAATTAGGAGACATCAAATTTGACGCTGGTAAATCGTATCAGAGATTACTGAGTTTTTTTTAACTCGGATAGAAATCTAATATATTGATAATAGAAAAAAAATCGTTTCTCATTTCTTTTCGACTTAAATAGGTTTGATAACTTAAATTTGTTTATGATAATCTTATTGCTAGAAAGGATATCTAGAGATTAAAATATTTTTGGAAGAAAATTTATAATATTTATGAATGTAATCTTTGAATAAGTGCGATTGGTGTTGGAAAATTCTACCAATCAGAAAAAAGATGTGGCGCATGTTATCAATCAGCAACACATGGAATCTGTTCAACAGTCAATTGTACTCATGAAGAAATGAAAATTCCACCTGATGATACTGTCGAAATTGTTTCATTTGATTTAGCTGAACAGTTGAAAATGTTGATCAATAAAAACATTGATCTTCTTAAAAAATATCAAGATGAACCACGAACACAAATTACATCCGATGCGAATGATATTGTTCGCGGTGATGTTTATCAATCTATATTACGTATTGAAAAAGATTCTTTTGTATCTGTTATGATTCACAGTGACGGAATTCCTCTTTATAGATCTAAAAATTGTAATGCGTGGCCTATATTGGGTGCTGTCTTGGAGCTTCCTCCTTATTCTCGAAATCGTGCTGATAATACTCTTCTTCTTGCTCTTTGGATAGGGAAAAAACCAAACTTTAGTATTATATTTGAAAAATTTTCTGAACGATTATTTCACCTTAAAAATAAAGGTATTGAAATAAATAATAATAATAAAATTAAAATTATCCTTCCTATGCTCATAGGCGGCATGCCTGCTTTATCTACAATGGTTAAATTTGTAGAGCATAATGCTTTATATGCATGCATGTTTTGCAACACTAAAGGAACCTATACACTGAAAAAAAAAAGTTACATACGGAACTTAAAAAAGGTTCCGAGATTTGCAACGAAATCTAAACCTTTTTTCGGCTTCGTATAAATATGGTTTCGTATGGAACCGTTCCCAGTTAGTATTCAAAATGGTTTCGTACCTCAAATAACCTCTCCATTCGACTGCAATGCCTCTGCGTTTGCACTAATACTACCATTCACGCTTCCATTACAATTCAGGCAACTATCCCTTTGTTAACAAGTTCATTCCTTAATTTATATCTTAACTTTTAAATGTATACCCTATGTTAACCTCTTACTCTACATCTAGCCATTAATCTATATCCTTATTCTATATCTAGCCCTGAATCTATATCCTTATTCTATATTCTTATCCTACATCTAACCCTTAATCTATATCCTTATTCTACATCTAACCCTTAATCTATATCCTTATTCTACATCTAACCCTTATTCTATATCCTTATTCTATATCCTTATTCTACATCTAACCCTTATTCTATATCTAATTCTTAATCTATATTCTTATTCTATACCTAACCCTTATTCTATACCTGACCCTTATTCTATATATAGCCCTTAACCTAAACCCTTAACCTATATCTAAATGGTTCACCGTTTAGATTTTTGTTTTACAATAATCAAGAGCAGTGTGTGAATATGGATCATCCCCATGTAAAAATTATTTGCCAAAAAAGTCACTTTTTGATACTTTTTTGCCTAAGGAAGAAAGTATTCATAGTCACTAATAAGTGAACCTTTTTTAGTATACTTTGGTAAACTTTATTAGTAAAAGTAATAAAAAAGTACTTTTTTTTATCACACTATTGCTTTACTAAAATATTGTAACCATTCTGTTTCGATTGTGTGAAAAAGTACTTTTATATTGCATTCCACTATTATATCTAGAACTGGTCAGCTGTTTTTCATAGTACTTTTTAGTATTTTGCACATATTGCTTTCTCTGTACTTTCTATACTTTGACATGTGCTAATACTGGGTCTACTATAGTACTTATTACTTTTCCTAAATTATTTTCTTTTACTTACGATATCAGGAATACTGAACTAATTACTACTCTTCATATAGTACTTTTTAGTATTTTGCTATATTTAATTTTATTACTTACCGCATTAGTGATTTTCATGCATACTTCTTTTATAGTACTTTTTATTTTCGTATTCACTATTTTCGATGCCACAGCCCAGATTCGAACATTCATAGTTAAATCTCCACTTTTTTCAACTTCTACGTATTCGAAAGCAGGTATAGGTACCAATGAACCAAATCTGCTTGTTTATATTACAGTTAAAACTGCCTTATAAATTGATTCTAGAAAAAAGTTGTAATTACAATTATAAGTACTTTTATGTAAAAGTACTTATAAGTACCTTTTTCTTTTGCTCAACTTTTTAGCGTACAAAGTACTAAATATTACTATTATTTGAAATGATAACTAAGTCGTTTTATTACAACGCTCACAGCTCATATCACAATCGCGACGGCAGGCAGCTGTTATACGGGTGATTAATAGGTAGTATTTAACAGAGGTGTCAACAGGGCCAATCTTATTGCCCTGCCCTGCTAATTAAGAAGAATTTTTTTCATGTTTAAATTCAAGTTTAAGTAACCTTTTTATTTGAAAAATAGTTCAACAAATAGATAAATGATCAGCAAATAATAAATTAGCCCTAATTGAAAAAGTGTATATGATGATATCGCATCATCACTGATGATCCATCAGTAGATCGGCTTGTCCACGTAACCCGCTACTTCGCTGATTAAGTTTTTAAAATGTTTTGCTTCGATATAAACAGATCTCAGCGTATTTTCTGGTACCGTTTTTTTTCCACTGGTTGTAAATTTGGACTTTTTTCTTAAAAAAATTGGGTTTTGGCATCGAAAACTAAGTTTTAAAGTTTCTATAAAGTGTATTTTTTGAATTTTCTAACCAAGAAATTTAAAACGAAAATGCAGAGTAATATACCATTCGATGTAGAATTTAATTCTTTACAAAGTGGCCTGTTAATTGTTTACTCACATTCTCCAGGACAACTTCTAAGCAGTTGTACAGTTTCTAACTTACTATACAATTATTGAGCTTGTATTTCGATGTAGCAACTTGATTTTTTTTACAGAAGGATATATGCAGGGCAGTGATCAACATATATAAACATTGAATATTTTTAAGCATGTTAAGTGCTTCAAATTCGGTCGACCAAAAAACGTGTCACAGCGTTATGTTTGGTTTTTGCATTTTTAATCTGAACGAAAATAGTTCAGAAAAAATACTTTTTACTGCTTGAAAGCCCATTCAATTCTCCACAAAAACATTGCCATCAGCTTTTCATTTGAAGAAATGATTTGGCAAAAAATTAGAGCTTTATAAGCAGACCTAGAAAAAAAGGATCCTTTTTTGTCAGTGTTACGCGATGATAAAACCTTTCTAGAAGCGCGAGAATTCAGTCGAACTAGACCATTCTTTCAATATTAGTAGATTATGATAAGCTGCATCGAATGACGTTTGCACGGCCTTATTAGCTCTGATACCTTTCGAGATAATTGCAAAACAATTTGTAAAAATATCACAGCGTTACGTTTGGACAAGCCGGGGTATATTTAGCGAAGAGAGAATAGAAACTTCATTTTCATCATCAGGGGATATATGAAATATCAGCACATGAATCTATCGACGATGCTAGCGATGCATAGTTTTATTTTTAATAGTTTTATTGAAATAATAAGAACATCAGCAACTATTACAATTGTATTTTAAATATATGTGCACTATTATCACTATTATGATTAATTTATTGTTTTCTTTTGTTTTCTTACAAATTTGATTGGACCTTATACAGTCATCATACAAACACAAATATAGCAATATATTTACCATTCTATAACACCATCTGGATAGTTTTAGTTTCTTTCACGTTCCCGAGAAGAATAAAATTGCTGTTATTTTCGAGCTAAATTATATGCAAAATTTGCAGGGCGTGAAGGTATAGCCTTGTCCTGCCCTGTGGACGCCTCTGGTGGGAAATATAATGGGTGATCGAATACGACTGAAATACTCTTCATTGCTTATAATACAAGGCTCTCCGTGATTTCTAGTTGTCTATTGTCCATTCATTTACTAAAAATAGAAATATTTCTTTTTATATATGACAGATGTTCAGTACAATTCGCATTCTTATTCAAACGTTTATTACGAATTTCACACTCGTTGAGCATAAAAAAGTTAAACAGATATACTCAGTATTGAATCTTGTTTTTAAAAGAAAGTCAAATTATTGCTTACATTTTATATTTTACTAATATGTAGTACCATTCGGTGAGTGCAAGAATCAATATGATTGGATCACTCAAAAAGTGTTAATGATAACGTTAGAAACTATGCAAGCTGTGTCTCTATTTTTTGAAAGCCACAAAGCAGTATTCATTTCTCTATAAATTACAGATGTGATATGCCACATAGCTGTCTACTATAGAATTACTTCAACATGCCTAAAGGTATTAAAGCATGAAGACGATGTGTTTTCAAAATTCGATAAATATATTTTGCCATTAATATTAAACAATAAAGATTCAATATGGGCTTTGGATTTTGAACATTGAGCAGTGTTACTAGTGATTGTGATTATATTGGTTAAATAACAGCAAAAACGAACATCCTGGTTCGGTGGATTGAATGGAATAGGGACCGAAAATTTCAAGTATTTGATTTCGGAGGGAAAATGCATGAAAAAACCTTTCAATAAACTTTCTTACACAGAAACAATATTTCTATTTTTCAATATTGAAACATGACTTTGTTCCTTTTTAGATGCTGTAACACACAAAAGAATGTTCAATATGTATACTCAGTCTAAAATCTACCTCATAATACTACAGAGTTTATCAAAATTTGAAGACATATACCTAGTCCTTGACAAGGTATATTTCTATTATCCTATGAAAATATTCTTCAACATAACGAAATTTGTGAAAGCGTTTCAAAGTCGACGAAAATTAGTCGTTATTTAAAGAAAGCAATATTAAATATTTTCAAACTATTGAAACTACATTTTGCTGCTTTAAAATCAAATGAAAATTAAAATAAATACTCTTAGAAACTTTAAAAACAGTATGATAAAACTCGTGCCTTAGAAATTACTACTTTGTACTTCTAAATGATGAAAATTACTAAAAGTTACTTTGGCTAATCGTAGATATGCACAAAGTCAGGTCATAGTAGCAAAATAATATTATTATTAGTTACTTTGTTAAAAGATATTATTTATAAGTACTTTTTAAAAAGTTTACCAACATCCAAATCATTCAACGATAGCAGCAAGTACTTTAAAGTACTTTTTGAAGGCGAAAAAAATGAATATATAGTACTATGAACAACTTTAGTACTTGAAAGTACTTTGATAAGAATAATAAGTGTAAATAATTACTAGAAAAAGTGAGAAATCAACAGCAAGTACTTTGAAGTACCTTTTGAAAACAACAAAAAATAATATATAGTACTATGAATCAAATTAATACTTTAAAGTACTTTCAAAAGTATAATAAGTGTCAATAAGTACTAGAAAAAAGTGAAAAAATGCTAAAATAGTTACTTTTTATCACTTTTTTCACCAAAAGTACTTATAAGTTCCTTTTCAATACTATTTTTTTACATGGGATGTCAATGTTTGCTTTAACCTGACGATAGTTAAGTATGATGTTTTATTCGATTCTACTTTAACATATTGAAAAGTTATCTGGCATGTTTTTTTCTATATAAAACATTTTTTCTTCATTTTATCATTTTCTTCATCTAGAGAAACCAGCAGAAGTTGCGCAATTTCTACGACAACGTGTCTATTGACAATTAATTGATGTACATCGCTGCTTTCATCAGCTTTCTGAAAATTAAGCATGACATTTGTTTTGTTTTTGTTTGTTTCATATCGAGAAAATTATCTGAGCGATTTTTTCGATAGACGAAACGATTCATCTTCATATAATCATGTTTTTCTTCTAGATAAAAAAGCGTACATGTGCAAAGCGGTAGAAACGAATGTTCACTTTCAACCAAATAGCTCACATCAATGTTTC